TGTAGCAGTTGACGATCACAAAGTGCTTTCTAACATATTGGAAAAATTTGAATCGAAAAAAATCTTTTTCATGTATCATGCATCAGAATACCCAATAAAATCTCCACACCAGAATATACACTTGCCCCTCGTATAAATTTACAAACATAAAAGGGCTTGAAGTACTTGAGTACTCAAAAACATGCGGACTATCGCATCCAAGACATCACCGCCACCCATATATTTTTTGTCTTTTATGAAGATGCTAGGATGCATGAAACTTTAGGAGTGAGACACACCGGTCTCCACGTGTGACTGATTCTTGATGAAAGTACAAAAAAAAAGGAAAAAAAAAATACACAGGAACATCGAGAGATCATAGTACACTCTCCTTTGCTTGACGACGTACGAAACACGCTAAAATTCCTCATGTTCTTTTCTTCTCTGACATTTCCCCATTTCTCCATCAGTTCATTTTTTGTTCACTCCTTCTGTACCGCAACCGCACCGAGCTCCCACTATTTTAAAAAATATTTTCTCTCATTTTTTTTTATAGTACCTCGACTTTTTCATATCTCCCCTGCTTCTTCTGCTTTTGTATTACACTTTTTTAACTTCAACATCTCTCGGTGCAGCCTGGCGCAACTGTAGAGGGTCTCGTTAACGCATAAAAGGATGCCATGTGAAGGAATACGCAGTCTGCCAGACAGCACTTTTTGCTGTTCAACCCGTCCTGTGCAGCATGGATGTACATGTAATTTCGTTGGAAATTATTTGAAGCAATTGCGGATGATATTGGGGGAAAAAAGTCGGAATTATTCTGCGAGATAATGCCTGAATTTTCGTCGACGAATTATTTATTTAACATATTTTTATTATTTATTTTATCGAGTATTCATGAATATTATCATGTTCTAGCAGATCACGCATACGAGTACATTTCATAGAAGTACTTCATGTCACAATTCTTGTTTAAAATTTCTACTCCAGAATCATAAAAATTTACAATCTCGCAACATTCATCGGTTTCATTTCCAATTGTATACCGTACATAGAAAAAATACTTCTATACTACCTAATTTGTCCTCCAACTGGTGAAATTCCATGGGTTGTGTCAGTCCAGGAGATGACGAAAAAAAAAACGAGACAGAAAGCTGTAAGAGCAGTTGAATGATAAAAAGAGAAGTGAATAGTCGAATCTATCAAGAGAGGTAATTACCTAGAATAATTGGCGGAGGAAAAATTGCCCGTCAAATGAAATGTTTCTATAATTGCTCACGGAGGGGAGGCAATGAACTCAATTAAATCGTCTAATCGTGTAATGCAAACCGCAGTAGTTGAAAAAAAGCGTCAGGCTAATTTTCGTTTTAATCCAGCAGCTGATGTTTAAGGTAATAAAAGAGTTGAGGGCTGAATAAATTATACATCCGTTCTTTTTGCAGGTTCTCTCTCCTCGGCATCAGGGAGTACTCGAGGGTTGAAAAAAATAAATGGCTCTCGAGGTTATTTGTTAATCCCCAGAGGAAAGAAAAGATCATCTTCAACGGACAGACCAGAGCTAAGCGGATCGCCCTAAATTTCTATTAGTCACTTGAGTGATCTATAGAATATATTCTTCACCGACTGCTAAAATTAATGGAACAAATATAAAGATATACAATTTCTCTCGAAATTAATCGAACTTGATCACACTGTCTAAATTCTCACCCAACAACATATCCCTATATTTATTTATTCTTCATCCTTTAATTCGGTATTACCCATAATCCAATATTAAAATTCATCGGAAACTATTTGAGGGTGGTAATTAATTTTGGGAGAATTTTTTCCGGAAAATTTCACGTGGAAGACTTAACTTCGGCTACCCAAGAAGTCAATTAAACCTGTGGTAATTAGTTGATCACCTGACATATTAAAAAAATTCCCATTATTGTGGTAAAAAAAAAATGTATCCGGATTCATAATTTCTTTGGTGTTGTTCATTTTTTTCGCTTCAATTTCCAACCAAGGAGATAATAACTAGGGACAGACATGGGAATGAAAGCATGGGGGAGAAAGCGATGAAAGAATGGAGTGAAAAGAGTGGAGTGGAAAAAGGGCTGGTCGGGGTGGTTAGAGAGAGGCAGCTTAATTCTCGTTGAAGACTGGTAAATGCGAAATTATATAGATAAGGCGGAAGAGAAAATGATAGATAATACATAACTCTGGTGAATATACAGTAGTGTATTTTTCTACAATGTACCGACAAACCTTGGGATATATATTTTTTTTTCAACAATTTTTTTTTCTAATTTCAGTTTCTGTTTTCCATCTCTCGCAGTGAATAAAACAAGTTTCAGTGGCACCGGTTACTGATGGCAACAAAACAGTTTCTGTTTTATTTTCTCCACTACCAGCCCTTGCTGTGTTGCTTTGAATGTAACTAATTAGTGACTACGTCGAGTCTGACGTAGTGAGCCCAGGATTTGGCTGACGTCGCTCGTTATCATTTTTATTTCAAAAGCTCAGCGTGTAACTCTCAGAATTTCTGGTGTGAATAGAGAAATATGAAGATTGAATAAATGAAGATGAAGGTGATATATCGGGAGTTGTTTCTGCGGGAGTTTCAGACGTTAGGTGTGTCCGGAAAATGTCCGGCAAACAATATGCAAAATTTTCATAGAGAAAAATAAATAAATGCGTGAGATCCTGATATAAAAAGGAGAAAGGAAATCCATCTCGACACATCTTCAAAATATCTCGAATGATCGTGAGAGAAAGACCCGTAGGACGAACCTGACCCGACACCACGATATGGTAGCAAAATTTTGAAAACCAAAAAATCGCAAAATTTGGAAATCATTGTAGAAACCAAGGAAGGTTCTACATCATTGAATAAATCGTGCGTGGGAGAGCGGGGGCGGCGAAATTTTTTAAATTCAAAAAATGTAAAAAATGTTAAACTCGCGAAAATTTGGGAATTATCGCGGAAACGAAGGAAGGTCGCAAAATATTGAAGAAATTTTGTCTAAGGGGCGGGGGCGGCTAAATTTGAAAATTCCAAAAAATTTCAAAAATTCAGAATATCTTGAAAATTTGAGGATTATCGAGCAGGCAATCTAGTAAATGATCAAACAGAAGCTGTAATAAAAAATTAAGTGACTACTAGCGGCATCTATGTATTGCAATGAGAGATAAAAACCCCGCAGTTACCTAATGAGTTGCCGGGAAAATACCAGAGCAAATAATTATAAACTATTTAGAAATTCATTGCAATAATTTCTCCCCAGTTTTCTAATTGGCAACACTCCATATTCTCCTGTTTTCGAGGAGAATTTCCATTTTAATGATGAAAAACATTCAAAATCTTAGAATAAATTGTTATTCAGACATTCAGAGCATTTTTTTTTCTTGTCTTCGTGGGGAAAATGAAGCTTTGACTTGGAAATACGTGATAAAATATACTTCGTCTCGCCACTGGGATTTAAAAAAAACCCGAAATATATCAACTGCTCCCTCGCCATTATACAGAGCATGCAGGATTATGAAAGTCACTCGAGCCACTTCCGGTAGGTTTGATATATGTGCAGAAGTGGGAATATATATACATACCACATGAGGAAGAGAGGAAAAAATCCAATTTTAATGAAAGGATGGAGAAGGCATTATTCATGCACTTGGACAGAGATATCATTGGAAAAAGCGGGCGAATTGCAGCCAAAAGAGCGACTCATTGCTCACCCTCGGACAATCGTCAAAAACCAATTGTCGAAATGACTTCCATACTGATAATTCATATTTCAAATGATGCACATTCGAGAGGCACATTCAGATCTCACACCCGCGAGGAACTGATGACTTAAACTGGATTAAAAATAAATGAAAGATCGAGTCATCCAATTAAATTGGTCGCGATATAATTTCACCTACATTATTCGTTCCTTGAAATTTAGACTGATTCAATTGCGGAGAAATAAAAAATTATCGAGTTATACTCTTTCAGTATTTGTTTTAGGCATTCATTTTTAATTATTCTAATTACCACGATTTTCAGAGGAGGTAGACTTTTATTGTTATTTCTGGGATGATGCTGTCTGCACTGAGAAAAAATTTTTCTGGTACATTAATTCACCTCTGCCAATAAAAACACTTGGCACAAGTCAATGCATTGAAGAATTTATATTGAAAGATGTGGATGTAGCGAAATTATTACACGATCTTGATATTTTGGAAGTCATTAAATATTTTTTTTTTCTATTTTTTGGTGCAGAAAATACGTCTCTACTTTTTCTCCCCGCCCTCGTGGCGAAAATTCTGGGGTCGAAGGTCCATTTTTATCCAGTATGACGAGTAACAGCTGATTGCGAGCTCTTTATAATTTATCAGGAGACCGCTGCCAAAAAATAGAACAACAGAGTTTGGGTCCATCGGGTGTGAAAACGTCTTATCTTCTGTTTACGACGAGAGTTGTTTATGAATTGGTGGTCCATACGTAATACCCGTGGTCACTTTAAGCTCTCCTCATTTTTATCATTGGATTCTATGTTTTTGGGGTCGGGAAATTGGGGAAGAAGTCATTGCGTATTGAGAATGAACCCGGGTAAAAAAAAATTGTAATCGAAATATTTTTTCCCAATTTTCAAAAAACTTCTGGAAAACTTTTCAAAAATTTTTTTGTTCCTATTCAATTTTTAAAAAATTTTTCAAAACCTATCTTAAAAATTAATTGTTTTTTTTCTGATTTTTTTGTTGGTTTCATAAAAAAAATTTTGCGAAAAGTTTTCCAGAAATTTTTGGAAAATTTAAAAATTACTCCATGAGGATTTATTCGCCCTGATTACGGATCTCTGGCCGGGCCGCTACTCAGAACTCTTCACTTTTTCCGCGAATTTTCATTATTGCGCAATTAGTGAATTGGTGATAATTCTTTAACTTACCACTCAATTTGCATTCATAGAAAAATTTCATTAGAATTTTTTTTCAATTATTATTCCCACTCTGAATATCGCCCACTACCTGTCTAAATAATTTACTAACAAACCTTCGCGATTTTAATGAAAAATTCTAATTTTTTTATTTGAAAATGTTTTGTTATAGTAACTTTAAATCAGGGCAGAATCATCGAGTTGCCCAGATCTTACGATGTCTTTGGCAGCGTGCATTAATCCCCGGATACCGTATCTGATTTTCTTTCGATATTCGAATAATGTCTCGATAACAGCGACTCCAACTTCCTCAAGAAAAGCCGCTAAAGGATCCTGTTCCTGTTGGAAAAATGCAGATCAATGAATCGTTGATCAACGATCTCCTCCGAATTAATTATCTCGTTAAATATATAAAACAGAAAGAATAAATATTAATTACCTCGTCATTATCATCGTCAAAAATTCTATCCCATTCGAAGTCATCCTCCGATTCGTTATCAGTACTGTTAGAGGAGTTGTTTTGGAGATTTTTGTCCGAAGGCCCCGAACTTTGAATTCCCACATTGGATTTTCCATCAAGGTCTTGGATTTTTGATTGTTCTGTGCTCTGATTCCACGGCTGATTAGAATTTCCATTTGGAATTCCTGTAGAGGAATTCTGTTTCACATGTTCATTAAATCCTGGCAGAGTTGGAAATGGATTCAGAGTTGCTTGAGTGGGTTCTTCCGAATTTTTATCGGTTGACTTTGTGGTGGTTCCTAAATCCTCAAGATTCTCCTGAACAGTATTCACATTCTCATCGTACACCTCAAGGTGTCGCAATATTGCCTACAATTGCCAATAAATCAATGTATTTCATGAATAATAAATTAACGGGAATATTGACAATGATTTTATTAAAAAAAATCGAAAACTATGAAAAAACGTTGAAAAATAATTGAATTCACTTACACGATTGTTTCGCACTATTTTCTGAATAGGTACAGCATTAATTAACGTGCAGGCAAGCAACACGATGAACAAATTGTTAGAAACCATTTTCTCATTGAGTAATTCCGACTATTGAATTCCTGACAACTACCTACTGGCCTCAAAATTCTTCAAAATCTATCCTATATACTCCCCACCTGTATAAACATTGCTTATCAGAAATCTACATGTTAACAAATTCAAAAAGACTCTCTCCGTCCGTTCCAAGAGAATGCCGACCTGATCATCATCGAATTAAAGTATATCGTTTTATTATATGTACTTCGTTTTCTGAACCGAATATTTTGAACCAATAACTGGCACGTAATTCTTCTCAAAATCATAATAAATCGACGAGAAAAATTCTTTTATTGTCAGTCAACAAAATAAAACACAAACGCCAACAGACTCGAATATCCCCACATAAATTCATTTCGGTCTTTCAGAATTTCATAATCTGTCGAAGTCCCCAGCAATAAGCGGTTGTAATAATTTTTATGGTCTTTATCAGATCGACCTTGTAACCAAAAAAAAATATTCAAAAAACGCCGCGCTAAGATGGGGAGGAATCGGCCAAGAAAGTCCCTAGGATTTTTTTTCGAGTGTTGGCGGCAGCCTCTGGGGAATTTTCAAAATACTCACTAGCAAAACAAGTACAAACCGTTGAGTGTTGACAGTGAATGTTAGTGTCTTCTTTGTGATTTTAATTGTTTAAATTTACTTTCTCGTATTATAGCGATTTATTCACGTCTTCAGGACAAAATGCTGGTGGAAAATAGATTTGAATGTGACATGGAGACGATTCTCTCCTGCTCTGAGGAGGAGAAACTATATTTCAAAAGGTTAAACAAGTACCTGCACGACTGCAGAACGAAAATCACGAAATTCGTGGAGGTAGAATCAAATAAGGGCAAAGGTATGAATAAATTCAATTTAATTTAATGATAATTATAATTAGGCTTTCGGCCCTCATGTCCTTCTATTTTCACGTTCAGGTACATCGACCAGGTTAGAACAGGATAAAGAACTGATCGCACAATTATCCACTGACATCAGAACCCTCGAGACTCAGCTAGATAATATCCTGTTAAACCAAAAAATATCGAATAAGAAACTCGAAAATACGATAGCCACGGATGAAACTTTGAATGCCGACATTTGCAGAGAAAAAGAAATCAGAGAGGCTCTCGCCCTGGAGACAGTCGACCTACAACAACGTAATTCCAATAATTATTTTCAAGATTTACGCACATTTCACCAGTGGAATTAAAATGAACCATGACACAACAAAATTTAATTTTCCATCAAAATTGCATTTGTCTAAAATGATAGTCTCATTTTCTCCATAATCATTCCTTCCAGAACTGGAGACACAGAAGGAGGCGAAGAAGAAGGAATGGAATGCCATCAAGATGGCGATAGCGATTTACAAAGAGAAGTTGAATATTCACATTGATGTCCAGCACCAGGAGAACCATGACACCCTAACAGTTACGTTAGTCCACGATGAAAATCCAAACCGAGACAATAATTACGTGGTTCTCCAGCACTCCGAGGGTGCATGGCGAGGTGAGTTCACCCTCAGAACATTGGTGAAATAAAAGATTATTCTTTAAATCAAAATGTGTCACTTTTTTATTTCAGTGTCGAATATTCAACCACCACTGAGTGACAAGGACCTCACCGCAATAAACTTGAATCAGTCTCGAGACTACGAGATTCTCGAAATCACGAGATTTCTGTGTCAAATAAGAAATATTTTTTTAAAACATGACGTCAGCGATAAATAATACTTTATTGATTCGAATGAACATCAAGAAATACTCGTTTTTTAGAAGAGTAAAGCCTTTATTGATAAAAATTAGGATATCTAGAAACTTTTTTTTTTAATCTCTCGTCAACTTTTCCTTTCCACGTTTACAGACATACGATTCGTTACATATACATGTCAATTTTTATTTTGATCAACGATGAACGCTTTTCTTATCAAAATATAACGTTTTGTCGTTATTTTGCAATAATAGGTTTTTTTCTTCTCTATTTGCAGAGATCAATAATAAAGTTACATTTCACATTCCTTTCAATTTTCTTTAGACTTAGAGATCTGTTAACTGTCTTCATGTACCTTCGCAGTGATGAAAAGAAAATTGATTGAAAAAAAAAGAAAAAACGAAAGCAAGAGACTGCAGATCACAGCGTTGATAAATTACTTAGAAGCTAAACAATGTTACATATCGTGTCAATATATGCATACATAGGTATAAATATTTCATTTGGACACATCTGGCTTCAGATAATGGAGTTAATGTATGCATATTATTGCTACGACGGTTAGCGCTATGAGAGAATTTTTCGCTTACAATACTTAACAGTTCAATGGGTCTGACTTTGACTTCTGTATAATTGAAGCTGATCGGCTCATTTCTGGTTAATTACCTTGCTCCATCGTCGTATCATTCAATTAGTCAACGCAATTGTCACGTGAGAACACAAATGAAAAAAATTCAATAGAAAAACCAATTCATTAGAAAATTCTGTTGGATTATTAATCCATTGAACCTTATACTTATACTTTCTATGGATTCTCTTGAAATACTACGTCAAGAAAATTTCAATTTCTGTCTACATTATTCTTTTGAATTCTGTTGCTATTTCGAAATGTAAGATTCACTGAATTCTCCTTCAATCGAATGCGCTGGTTTTTCTTGTCGACGTTTTTTTTTTCATACGTGGTTAGATGAAAGAAGACTGCGGGAGTGAATTGTTTTGAATACTATGACGAATATTCTACTCAATACCTAAGAATGGCTGTTTAAAAATGACTTGAGGAGACTTCAATAAAAATTATTAGCATTAATTTTTTTTCTTTCGCAATTGCTCGCACAGATGAAAATAAAAATATCCAATGATTCCTTGAAGAAATTTTCTTGAAAATTGTTCTTTTTTTCGTTAACATTTTCCACATATAGTTGTTCCTCATAAAAAAAAAACTTAAAAATGGAAAAGAATGATAAATAATATTAATAATGGGGAATAATTATGACAAATATATTACGTATGCAGTGCGCGAGTCAATAATAAATCATTTTTATGGGCACGGGTCAAATAGTGGGTTCAACTACATCTCGCCCACTGACAATTGAACAACTCGCAATTCAACAGATTTTATTTCACTCATCAGTTGACCTGCAGTCATGAGTTCTCTCATTAAATTTTTTTTCTCTCCTCAAACATTGATCTATTGATTCATGATATTTCTCAGCACCCAGGTTGTTCGATCCCTCAATAATAACTATCGGTTATTCTAAAATATTTGTCATTCTGAGTAGTGAAGAGGGATTTTCTGAGTAGTCAAGGGATTTAACACTAAATAATATCATTAGAAACCTAAATTTAATCATGTTTTAGGGATAAAATGAAAACTATTTACAATGTCTACAACAGTGCCCTGTGCCTAAACCATAATTAACCAACTACAATTCTTACATTCACACGACATTAATTTGAATTTTCGTCGCTCCGTCGCTTTTTTCGCACTCTAAGAATACGCAAGTACTCTCACATTTATAATGCTTTATATTTCCTCGAAATCGTTATGGAAAAATTGTAAACTATCAATTACCCCTGTTGAATATATTATTTTCTTTGATATTTCGATAACTCTTTCTCTCATGAAATTCCAGCAGATCTCTAGGGAGAATTGAATGATAAGAACAAGGAGAAGTACTTGGAGATTCTCGAGTAATCTTAGCGTATAATAATTTTATTCGAGAGTCGCAGCAAATGATACATTACCGCCAGAGGCGGCGGCAGCAACCGCAATAAAAAGGGTAGGCGGCAATAGAGGCGGAGAAGATGTTGTTTCAGCTGGGGTCTTCATCGTCGTCGGACAGTTACTGCTGACCCCATAGACCTTTGCATGGTTGACTTCCAGTGCAACCGTTAGGTCGGCCAGACCGGCGTCACACAACACTGGGTTATCTGAAAATACGTGTTTGTTATTATTTTTTTCTCTCCTGGAAAATTTATCACGCCGTACGCTAGAGATAACAAATAATCAAACCGAAGAAAGCACAATTGATACGACAGCACATAGAAAAACCTTCAGTGCACCCCAAGAAAATATTTATTTGTCATCAACAAAATAAGTTTTTTTTACTAAATACATTTTTTATCAACATGGACATCTCTATTTCTGATTCCTCATACAAATGTATCAAGATTTTATGTGAATATGTATTTTACGCTTTAAATAATGTAGGAAACAGAAATATTTGTTCAATTCCGATATTGAGCATTTGGCAATCCCTTTTCCTTATCCGAGGTCAAACTCCGCGTGAATGAAACTTCATACGTGGTAATGTACACTTCGTGTAATCACTCGTTATCCCGCATTCATAGTTTTCTAAGTGTCATATCTCCTGATTTTAGTGATTTATTGTACCAGCCCTGGCGTCATGTAGCAGCGATAATTTCAATATCTAATCGTTCCAATAAATTCAAGTGAAAATGTCACAAAACTGCAGGATTTCACGTCAATAATGATATCAAATCGAGTTGAAACAAGAGACTCACTCCCCAATGAAAGTGGCTCATCAATTCTAGTGTATTTTATCCCAAAATTCAGTAGTCAAATAAATATTATAAATATTATAAAAAATTAGTACCTTGTAAGTAAATACGTAAGACATCAGGCACTCCATGCACAGTGCATCGTGTATTAGCCACCAATTCTGGTGTCAATGATGTTATCTCATTAGCAGAGACGTCTGCCCAGCAGAGAACTGGAAAACCCCGGAAATCTCGTTCTGATAACGTTATCAAACGATTGTTTGATGCATTGAGCTCTTCCAATGCAGGTAAATACGTCTGCAATAAGTAACCCATACGAATCGCTCGTTAAAGTAAATGATAAAGTGATCATAATTTCATTAGTGTAGTAGTACCTAATACGCAAATAGATACCAAATTTTTTGTAGTTCTTATTTTCCTCTACAAAAAGGTTTCAAAGGAATTTTCTCTATCTCCGTTAAATTCCGAGATATTTCTGAAAAGTTCGACAAGACAACCAGTCTACTTATCATCCTTCACAATTCACCTAATAGATAAGTTTTCGAAGAGTACCTTCCAAACTGAGATAGCTAGAAAAAAATGTGTAGGGTCTTTTTTATAGAGTGAAATGAAAGCTACAAAAAAGGTCCCGCAACATTTTTTCCAGCCGTTGTAAATTCCGAGATATTCCTTGAAATATCCGATTATACTACAGGAAACTGATAATCTTTGCGATTAATACAACTTTGCGAATAATACGTCAGCCCAGGAGTGAAGCTCACCTCGGAAGTATCTTCGAGTGTTGTGAGTCTGTTATACGATAGATCCAAGACTCGAAGTCCCTCGAGGCCCTCAAGATCCTGAGGTCCAATCGTTGGACCGAGTGCATTGTGACTGAGATTAAGCCTCTGCAACTCTCGCATTCCAATGAACAACGATCCCTCCAAGCTACTCAACTCGTTATTCTGCAGTCGCATATCCTGAACACTGGCACCAGGTATCTCCTCACCCTCCTCCTCAACGAGATTCTACGTTAATCAATAAATTCCTAATTAGCCACAATTGTTTCAACCTTGAAGACGATCATCACACATACCTCCGTTGGTCCACGATAAAGACGGATAATTCGATTGCTTGACAGATCGAGTAAACGTAATTCCTTGAGTCCACGTAACAAGGCAAATGAAAATTCACTCAATTCGTTGTGGGTCAAATTTAAACACTTTAATGATCTCAATGGCCAGAGAGCGCTGTTGCTACCATTACCATCACCACCGATGCTTGTATCACCACCCAATGATTTCAGGGAATTGTGCCCCAACTCCAGATCCTCCAGCAACTCTGCCTCCACGAAATCTTCCTCTGTCAACTTTCAATAAAAATTCAAGATAACACGGGTTAAAAATTTGAAAACGGGTTACATTGAATTCAGCTATAAAGGTTTAATTTTTGTTACAAAATTAAATTCAATAAATTTACAAAAATATGGAATATGTACCTCTTGCAAGTTGTTGTATGACAACTCTAGGAACTTGAGCCTCCGTGCCTTCTGCAGAGTTCCATCGAGACTTTGGATGTAATTATGCTGAAGAAAAAGGGTCTCAAGTCTGTGTAGATATCGAAATTCCGTTGGCAGATGAGTCAATTCATTGTCAGCGGCATAAAGCATCTTCAGGTTGTGCCCAGATACCGGTAGTTCACCGTCCAATGACGTCAATTCATTAGAATTCAGAAAGAGCCACTCCAATTGGTTGAGATCACTGGTAATTTCATAAATTCAGCATCAGTGATAATCAAGGAAATTCGCGATAAATACAGAAAAATACCAAGAGTCATTGGCAGATATCTATTGAAAATCTTCAAGACTAGGAACGAATTTTATTTCCATTTTCGCCTTCGGATCAATAAATAGAGATTAATGGAGCATCTTGGAAGAGGAAGCTTGATTGTCCCTTATTAACTCATCAGTCAGCAACATTGTAAACAGGATATTAAGAATGAGGTTGCACATACCGGAGGGTTCGATTCAGTGAGTTCAGATGATTTCTACCGACGTGTAGATGTCTGACGAGTGGTGGAAGTGAACCTGGTATCATTTCCGATATCAAATTCCCGGCCATTGACAGATGCTGCAGCGTTGGGTTGTACTGAAAATTTTATTATTTAACACAACGCAATTCAATGCAATCCAAAATATACGTGGTAGAACGAATTTGTTTAATATTTGTTTAATATGGATAATATATTCTATTGATTGTTTCTATTGAATGTTTTTACTGTATATAATTTGCAGTTATTACCTTGAAATCATCAGAATCAATGCGATTGATGCGATTTCTGCTGAGATCAAGGGTGCGAAGCAGTGAAAGATGCGATAAAATATCCCTCGGTATCGACAATATTTCGTTATCAGCTAGACTCAAGTATTGCGTCCGACCCAATCCAGCGAATACTTCACCATCTACATTCCTGAAAAATAATTAATTCCTCATACACTCATCCTCAATTCCGTCTATACGAGTTCAAAGTACTATAAAAAATTCAAGATAAACATTGACTCTGAAAAATCTGTTGAATTCCGTTTGGAACTTTTCCAAAATTCTGAGGAATTCTCATAAAACTTTTGTTGTATACTCGATGGAGAAAATTTTTCATTGAAGATTCAGGAAAAAACAGAAAATCCATGACTCAGCGTTTCTTATAAAAATACTTAAAAAAATAATAGTGTTTTAACGAAAATTTGCTGGAATTCCAGTAGGCATTCACCAGAATTTTTCTAGAAAATGGTGTTTCTCGTTTTAATTCGAATGCATCTGCTGGTACATGTGGTGTTGTAAATGAAGAAAAATTGTGGCAATTAAACCCAACAAAATTAATAGCATAAATCATTATTAATGGGAGAGCGGGAAATTTCTGTAGGAACTTCCGGAAATGCTACCGCCTCAGTTGCAAACTCCAATCTAAGGGTCATTGTGATTCATTATTTAATTACCACCACTGATAACCGTGATAACAACCCACATAAACATGGACAGCCATCTGAAAAAGGTCAGGCACGATTAAGGCTTTATCTTTATTTATTGTGAGGCGCCAGAAGTTGAAGCGGACAGTCTGAATTTTTATCAAAAATTTATTTTTCAGTCTGAAGTACTTGAATTGTTGGGAGACCAGAACAACGCGGGAATATTATTGTTTTCCATTTTCCAGGGGCATGGAAAAACCACGTGCTCTTGCATGTGGTTTATTATGTCAACGCACAGTGACAAATACTCCGTTAAAATTTATGAATCATTGGGAAAAATGATTGAACGACTTGCTGTCCCCGAAGCGGTGAGTCATCAGATGAATTAATTTTTAGCGAATCACAGAATTTACGTTATAACACGTACAATTTCACTCTCGACTCACCATTGAATTGTTCGATAAGTCGTTTCGCTCGAGGCGTACTTTTTATCCTTTTTAATGTTTTGGTAATTTTTTGGGAATTTTTATCTCCGTACGGTTCTACCTTGTGAATGAAGAAATTCGTTATAAATTATATTTTTCAATATCCGAGACTGAAGTGAGTAGTGGTGTGCATGATATAGTCAGACCCACGTGGTACCCTCTACCCCCATTCGTATACATAAAAAACTTCAATAAATGAAACACCGATTTGCAATGACTACGCACTTGTGACTCCGAGTACTTCAAACCGCCGGAATAATTATTAATTCCAGGATCGACGGAAAAACTGAGAAGAAACGGAGGAAAACTCTGGGGAAACCCGACAAAAAAATATTGACAACGTGTGAAAAAACAAATAGTGGAAATACCCAGTGCTTTTTGTAAGAAATTCCATGAGCATTCTCTTGTCATTTTCATTGTAATTAATTTTGAATAATTAATAATTATTCTAATTAGAAGATCATACAACTCCATTGCAACACTTTTTATTTCTCTACCCCCAGTTTTCGCCACTGAATTTTTATTAATTCCCCATAATAAAATAAAAATATCGTAATTATAAACCAACATTTATTTAAAAACAGATGTCACATAATTTTGAAGAGAATAATCCCAAGAGCACCTGTAAAAACAGACTGACGAGAAAAACCCCGATAAATTCATGGGAATTTCCCTGTAAATTCGCAGAAAGCTCGAGAATTTTCGTCTCCAACGAACGTCAGAAAAAATACCGAAGAAAAAAAAAAGGAAAAGAGTGGAGTGGACTTACCCCAGATGATCGTGATTCAATTCAAGTCTCGTAATGGACATTCTGAGCTCCTTGAACCCATGCCTCGATATATCCCGCAACTCCGAGTGAGAAACCCTGAGTGTAATGGTCTGTTCAGGACCAAATTTACCCCTGAGTGCATCAGCAACTTGTCCAAATGACTTCATCCTCTCGCACACAACTTCAATTCTCTCCCCATGACCCTGGGAATTGACATTTTTACCGATACCACCACCGTCATTAACACCACCCCCACCACCACTTGCACTTGAACTAGCACTTGGTACAATACGGCCCACATTACCCGAATCATTAGACGGTGTTACTGAAACTGGATTAACAACAACAGGACTTGTAAAGTCCTCCTGTCTGCATGTGCAGGGATTTATTTCACGTCTAACAGCGCAATGAAGACTCGAGCTAGCAGCAAGTCCGAGTAAAGTGTAAAGTATACCGGACATTGTTCACAGGATTATTTGTATTTTCAACGAAAAAACAAAAAAAAACAATCTATTGAATGCGGCTGATTGTTGTTCCTTAGTCAGCGTGATGCTACCGACTATCCTAATCACCATCCAAACAACCGAGAGTCCCCATCCGCAATGATTCCGGTACGGACCATGCGCGCACCCCCCGCAAACAACCAATTGCCGACAAGTATCTCCGTCGATTTACCCCTACCCGCCCCCCCCCCCGTACTACCACCCCCTTAACTCACCCACCTCATCCACCCTCGTTTCTTCACCCCCTCCACCCCACCTTCTCCCTATTTTTTTTTTATCCCTATTTCCCCCACCCCCCTTTTTCCCCCCTCGTTGCCCCTGTGACAATCAATCAGACGACTGGCTCTACCCAGTAGTCTGCTTTCCCCCACCTTTATCTCAACCCTCCTGACCACCTCCCTACCCCCCTATCACTCCCTGTCTCCCCTTATCTCCCCCTATCACTATTTTTCCCTCTCCCCAAGCACCGTGATTCCTTCTCACTTGTTCTCCACTGTTTTCTTTATTGCTGTCTCCACTACTTTTTGTTTCAGTTTTATAACTTCCAGCCCATCAACTCTCGTTACACTCCAACTGAGTTTAATCCGGTGATTAGATTTGCTGGATTAATGCACTTGTCACTTTGAATTTTCCTTTTTTTTTTCTTCCCTTTGGTTGGATTATTGGGCCTCGGGGTATGTGGAACACATTTGTAGTGATTTTTTTTTTGTCGGGGGGTGGGGGTTATTGATGAGATATTTGGCGCGATGGAATTGTGTTGGTCAATTCATCACGCGTGTATTTCAAACTGCTGGCGCCACGGACGCAGCAAGAACATTAAATCGTTGCGGGCCGTGCCGGACTTACTTATAGGCTCTGGACGGGAGGTTTGTATGGCAAGTACGAAAACAGGAGTGATAGTTATCGGTGGGAACTCTGGGAGAACTTCGGACAATTTTCGGGGGGTGGGGAGACTCTTTTTTTCGACGGAACATGCAAAGAAATATGCAATAAAAACTGCCCATTATTTCTGTTATTCCGCAGCGAAATATGGTGAAGGAAAGTTTACGGAACTCAATTACTCAATTACTCTTTACATTTTTTTTTTCATTTTTTGTCGAATTTTTCGTGAAAATATGCGATATCACAATGGCGTATTCGGTAGCTGAACTTGAGTTGAATAATTTTTAGTGAATATTTCTCTCCGTGCAGGGTTATTCAACGAATGACCTAAATCAGTCATTTCTTCTCGCGAATCGTTTCCATCACAAATTTTTTTAGACTCTAATTGCATTATGTCAATATTCTTTAACGCAAAGCCGATGGAAACGATTCGTAATCCGAACTAGATGGAGAACAGGCTTCAGAGTTAATCAGCTTAATTGTAACGTGATTATCACTCGCATCTGCATCGAGGAAAATGGGCAATTTGACTAAAATAAGAATCTTCATCAAAATTTTATTCGTCACCCCAAGGAAAAAATAAAAAATAAAAAATAAAAAAAAAGATGTCCAAAAACCATTTAATCAGGTAAAAAAAAAATTCATTCATCTCAAATAACTACTTTATTTTAATTGAATAAACTATCTACTGATTTGGAATAACTCTTCAATTTGCTCAAGTTGCAGAAAGAGATTACAATAGATTTTTTAGTTCTTCTGATTGGATTGGCGTAAATGTGTGAGGTATATGCATTGAGGCATATAAATGGCAGACATTGAAACACCTACAATAGTCAAGATGCAAGAGTGAATTTTTTACGAGTGAAAAACGATGAGGCGTCAACGAGGCGTCGTGAAAGCGACATTCCAAACGCGTCTTGTCACGCCATCCACCCCGAAAATTCAGCATCGAATTGTTCTACCTCCATTTATTTTTCCAGCCTTTTTATTATTTCTTTTAATTTATTTTTCTCTCCATTTTTTCCTCTTACCTTTTATTTTTTGTCACCGAAAAATTTACTGGGTGGACAAAACAAAGAGAAATTTATGTCCGCCGTACGACACCTCCTACCCACTGGACATTCCAAGCACTCTTTGCGGACGTCGAACTGTATTTCTATTACTATGTTTCTTCTTCTTTTTTCAAATTCTTTTTTCAGATTCTTTATCCGTCCTCACATGGTCCGCAGCTTTTGGAATGGCATCCGGCTGACACATTGAAACCAGAGTACATAAATAAAAATTATAAATAAATTAAAATACGGTGAACACATTCTGGGGACATTTAATTGAAAAATTATTGATTTTGGTAATAAAATTTTATTCAAACCGCCAATCATATCGGTATTCAGTTAATAATTAACATGAGTCACCTAAACAAATGATTTATCCGACAGAAATAAAAAAAATTCTTCGAATAGAATTTTCCTGGCAAATTGACAAAAATTCATTTGTATCTCAATTGAACTATAAATTGTGTTTCTGGTGTCATTAAATAATTTTCATTGGAACAAGTTGTTAGTTGGTTGAAATAAGAGGGAAAATTTAAATAAAGACTTCTATTCGGTCATTTTAATTGGCATACGAGTTCCAAGTAAATTATAATTACCATATGTAGAAGTTAAATGAATATTGTTACACGGAAAAACTATAACATTATGTTGAATAAAGTTTCTGTTTCTTCACGAGAAAAAAAAATGCAGTAACTTGCGATAACAGAATCCCTGAATGCAGGGCTTCAATAACTAAAATAATATCACAATATTTTCCGAATGAATAAAATCAATTTTTTACTACTTTTACAACCAATTCTCTGTGTTTTTAAATATTGAGAAGTCACTGTAAATAATTAATCAGATATTTTGGATATACTATTCTATGGCGTAGATTCGCCTCAACTCGAAAGTTTATCGTGTTTTCATAGACATTTATGTCGAGACGTTATAAACAAAGGTCAGAAGTTGAGCAGCGTGATGTATACTCGTTATCAATGAAAATACGACTGCTGTCTCCATTACTATATCGCACATGATTTAGAACAGTGAGAGCTCTTTCCTCCGATTTTCCTCTCATCCGTCCCACGGCTTCGTACAGATTTGTGAGGGGAATTTCCGTGAATGAAACCACCCATATCTCATCTTTAACTTCTCCCCACGGTTGTCTCATCATTGATTGAACTCATTGAAATTTTCAATCTCCAAAATTCGGTCCAATCCTCCAGTGAAGACGACGAAAAACAAACTTCTCATCAAGATAGTACGAAAAAAAGAAAAAAAATGAAATGTTACCTCAATGTAACAATCCACACAACTCAAATCCGAGGCAAGTGTTGTGGCCCTTTTCATACGGATAGCAAATGAAGGCTGACGTCACATTGGTTTGCGAGTGAATGAATAAAAAAATAATCTAGTAAAAAGAGAGAGAGATTAAAATAAGAGTCTTGCGTGTTGGTTATAAAACAAATGCGAGAATGCAGCCTGGCGCCAACGTACACGAGGGGCTGTTGGGCGCCTCACGGACGATCGCGCATAACGAAACACGAATGCCGCATGAACGCCTACCGATCGTGCGTAACATCGAAAAACTGTACATTCGATACAAGAGGACGGCAATAAAAAGTCGTTAAATGAAAATACAAAATAAATAAAGGCTGAGGTAAAAATTGACAATCCAGTTGGCTCGATCCACCACCTCATTTCACTTGTACAAGACGAGTGTGTATACCGGAACCGTTGGCGGACACGCAGGAGCCGGACAGTCGGGCTATGTGAGAAAAACAAGGCCTATACGACCCCAACTAAGTACTCCACTGGACGGACAAGGGAACGAGAGCTAAATCGAGACAGCTACATCATTATGAGGCGTGCCCCCGAGTTTCTTTTCCCTCTATTCGTTTCCTTTTCACGTATTTTCTTCTTCTTCTTCTTCATCTTCTTCCTTTTCATTTTTTACTTACTTTTCTTTTTCTTTATTTTCTTCGTCATCTTCTGGCGCCTGATGGACCCGACTTCTTGATGGCCCACAACGTAACCCCTCTGACTGCCTCGTTTTTATCTACCCGGTGTATATCACATTATCTACCTTCTTCAGGGATACTCTTTAGCTTTTTACCTTTCTCACATTTTTATTGTCTTTTCACTGCCGAGGGTGAGTCATTGCCGTTTGCCGGACGTCAATCTGTGGAAAAGGCATTTTTCCGAGGTTATTCCTTTTTTATTCGTTTATTTTTAAGAGGGCGGGGGTGGGTGAGTGATTTATGGATTTATTGTGCTTATTTTGAGGAATTTGTGAAAATTTGGGTGTCTTGAAGGAAATATGCGTGGGTTCATAACGAGTGTCTCGTATTTATTGGCATATTTTTCCGTCGAATCAATTCCTCAATTTCAGAGATTTTTATTTTTTACTTCAAGAAAATAAATAGGATTATCACCATCATAAAATGCCTCTTCGCTACCTAATTGGATTAACTCGGCATTTCAAGCAGTAAAATAGGAATATTGAGAGAGAAGTTTCAAGTGCTTATGATACTTCATTAGAGGGACACATTTAATTATCCTTCAACTCTTCTATGGGCGTTTAATTTCCTACAATTTTTTTTCCTGGAGTATCTCAATTTCAGAGATGAATCATTTCCGGGGCTTTGAAGGGCGCCGAAAATTTTTTTCATTTTTGAATCGAATCGAATTCTGAATCGAAAAAAAATTCGCTCAAATCGACTTCACTATAAGTGAAATCGATGCGTCTCGCCGAGATATAAACGAATATGACCTTATGCGCAGAAGTCGATAATATAGGGACGCGCAACATAGACCATGATTTTTCAAATGGATTTAACTCATTAACAATCAATGTACAAACGACGAAAACAAGAAATTCGTAATGTACAAACGATTTCCTTCGGAAAACACCCCTAATTTGGTTTTATTGATCAATTTTTAATTTGTTGTCGGCTAAGATCATGCCGAAATTTAATTAATTTTTTTTAATTAATCAGTTGATGTACAAACAAGAATTTTATAGGTACAATCATGTGCTAACGATGTACAATCGAGTACATAAGGTCGTTTTTCTAATTAGTGACCCATGTCGGCTAAGTACCTGGAGGTCGAGTCCACAGATGGACAAACACTCCCATTGGGTGTGGCGCCCTCCCTCTCTTGGGCTGCAGTACTACGATGCCGCTGGGGTCACTCCAACCCCCAGAACTGAGCGTCTCTACTTTAGTCAACCCTCTTTAGTGTCGCTGACAATCCCCTTATAATCCGTGGGTAAAACCTCGTGCTACCGCGTTGAGATATTTGATAGTTGAGGTTAATTCAAGGCACCGAAACTTTTCCAATAAATTACTCATCCCCATTCAACAAGGCCCATAAAAATTCTCGCCAACTCTCCTGCTGATGTGAATAATTCCACTGAATTAAAAATGGCAGTAAGAGTCCAGTTCGAAAACAGCAACGAAGTCGGAGTATTCTCAAAGCTGACCAATTCGTACTGTCTTGTGGCAATCGGTGGTTCAGAAAACTTCTACAGTGTTTTCGAGGCTGAATTAGCCGAGACAGTGCCAGTAATCCACGCTTCTATCGCAGGATGCAGGATTATTGGTCGGCTTACTGTTGGAAACAAGAACGGTCTTTTAGTACCAAACACAACAACCGACATTGAACTTCAACATATTCGTAACTCATTGCCGGACTCTGTCAAGGTCCAGAGAGTGGAGGAGAGGCTGTCTGCACTTGGAAATGTCATCGCGTGCAATGATTATGTTGCTCTGGTCCATCCTGATCTCGACAGAGAAACCGAGGAGATTCTCGCAGACACATTGAAGGTTGAAGTTTTCAGGCAGACAGTGGCCAGTAATGTTCTCGTAGGCTCATACTCTGTTTTGTCGAATCAAGGAGGTCTGGTGCACCCAAAAACCTCGATACAGGATCAGGATGAATTGTCATCCCTCTTACAAGTTCCATTAGCTGTAAATATTCTTACGTTTCGTGTGGATTAATTGAAACATTTTTTTTACTGAGCATTAGTGTCGATTTCTTAGTAAATTATTGCATATTTTTATGAAATTATTGTTGTTACAGGCTGGAACGGTCAATAGGGGAAGTGACGTGATAGCAGCAGGAATGGTAGTGAACGATTGGGCGAGTTTTTGTGGTATGGATACAACTGGTACTGAAATTTCGGTTATTGAGAGTGTATTCAAGCTTAATGAGGCAACACCTGGTGCAATTACCTCGAACATGAGGGCATCACTCATAGAGAGGTGAGGAGAGTGTTTTTTTTTTATGAAAATGGCAATAATTTCACGAAAACTCGATTAAAGAGTGATTCGACTTATCTTTTATCTTTTCAATTCACTAATGATTTTTTTTTTACTTTTGGACTAATTATTGCTTCTCTCGTTTCAGTATGTCCTAGAATTACTGCTATCACCAATCGAGTGTAAATCTGGACAAAGTAAGAACGCGATGTTTGCCTGTACATAATTACATCAAAACTTCCGCAAAAAGGAAGTAATATCCAGTATAAATTTTCATCTTGGGAAGCCAGGATTAATTCATATGAAGTGCATCTGTCTTTTTAATCAATCGAGTTATAAAATAGAGGAATAAATAATGACAAATTGAGTATGGAATTTTATTCAATTGAAATTCAGGATTGTCTCTTTATTCCTTAAAAACGAAAAAACACTGAGTCATCGCATTATCTCATTCGATGGAAAAAAAAATTATGCATTATTTATTCTATCTTCAGGCTTAACTGCAGGTCAATTTATTACAATTAATAAGATATATACAGTAATATCAAAGTAATACTCATTGGCTGCAGATTAATAACAAAACTAAAACACAAAATTGCAAGATATTTAACCTGAACACATTTCATGTTACTTCTGTGCTGACAGGAAATTGATATCTACGTTCTTCGTCCATTCAGCATTTCGTTGAAGAGTCTGAGGTGATAAATAGTACGCTATGAAAATTTCAGTTATAAAATGTATGTCTCTGCAAAGTAATCAGGTGGATCAGGCCCTAGATCGCTGGTAACTTCTAAATTCTAATTCATTCATGTCAGATTTCCGTACAGTTGTAGAATGGTGGAATAGGACACGACTTAAATAGGAATTTAACTTCAGAAATATTTCTCAAAATTGGAATTTCTGTTCCACCACTCGACTCCACAATTTCAAAGTTATTAACAATAATTATCCCAATTCGAGGTGAATAAGCATCACTGACTGGCAACAATGTGTGCGTCATTAACGATCATTTTCCAGTCATTAGCTTCTCTCACTTGTCACTTCATTACGATTGAAATAATCTCTGCAATTAGTTTGGACTAGAGTAGAGGAAGCTGCTCGGCATTGAGTAGTTCCTCGGCCGCAGGAGCTTCAGAGCGCATTACTAGAGTTATTCCTGCGCTGTAAGATGCTGGGATACGAATGTGCGTTGGATCAGCGGTACGAAATCTTGGTGGACGTTTCTGGTCCATCGATTCGCGTATCATATTCACCACCTGACCTGCTCATCCGATAAAAATTCCAATCGTGCATTTATTGATCCCAATAATCTGAGATCTGCAATATTTATTCAGTTTAATTCAATTGAAGAAACAATGATAATTACCAAGGACATTGAGCCTCCGCCAGCGATGGTCCATTTGAGCAAGTTTTGCCAAGTCAGTTGTGGGGTTCCAGTGTGCTAAAACGTCTGCTCGACGAATCAACAGGACACTGGGGCTCATCAACTGATGCCACACAATCTAAACGAGAATAGCAATTTCATTTAAATAAAAATACTTAAAAAAATGATAATCTCCTCCATCATTTCGAGTTAAGTACCTGCTCAGGGAGACATTCTAGAGGATTGGTGAAATAAATGCCAGCCTGACTAACCCCAAAGATCATTTGATGATGCCAAGCATCTGGAATCTTTGTTCCAGTTCCATAATTTTGGAGATTCAGTGTAGCTATCGGTGCTGCGCCTGACGTCAATCAAATATTTTAATTTTCAATGCTTCAATCAATTTGAGTATGATAATTCAAAAAAAAATTACCCCTAGAAATCCAGTAATGTAACCAATGTGAGAGTGATATTGCTCTCTCGGGATAGAAAGCAAAGAATTTGGAGACCACAGCTCCATTAGTAGCGAGAGATAATCCCCTTATGAGGTCTCTGTGAGTGGCACCCGCCTGTGATCTGCTGACTAAATATCTTGGCAAAGGGCTGCCAGGTTCACGCTGTCTAGTTGCAATGCTCTTGACTAAAACCTCAAGGGAGAATGGCACATCGAGGGCGAGTAAAACATTGACAGCTGAAGTTGCACCACATGCAGATGTTGCAATCTGGGTGACTTGTTTGACAGTTGCCTCCTGTTCACTCCAGAGCATGACTTTTTCCACTGGCAGAAGCCCATCGAGTCGCTCATTATACAATTCACTCTCGAGATTTGAATCTCCACTCTGATTAAACGCTGTCTGCTTATTGAGCATTAATTTCTTCGCCATCATTCGATGATAGAGCGTCGAGGAAAGATTCACCTTTCGAGAATTCAAGGCTGAGTTTTCCGGCAAAGAAACAGCTGCAGCATCAGCCCACAATTCAGAGTCAGCGTCTCTGCTTTCACCTGGCGATATTAAATCTCCACTGGTGTTGTGGTACCCATAGGATTCCCTGATGGGCAGTCCAGGATTTCGTTGAACACCTGGTGTACTCAGCCTTCGTACTCCAGAAACTGAGATTGAAGGCTGGGGTCCAGGAGTTCCACTCCCCGAAGGCATATCCATCTCATTCTCGACTTCGCAACTAACATTTGGCTCCTGTCTGGGAGTCTCAGTTCCACCAGTGTTTTTGGAGATTACTTTGCCCCCACTCAAGTCATTCAAAAAGATGTGATCCTCAGCGTGATCCATAGCGATATTCTGGATGTCCTCGTTGATGGAAGCAAGATCACTGTCACCAGTGTCTTGTTCGCAGGATGGTCCAGGATCAAAATCCATCTCAAGGAAGTCCATCTCAGGGCTGGAGGGTCCACTGAGGGGTAGACCAGCGACTTCCTGGGCATCAGGTGCCCTTCCCAAACCTGGAGGTGCCCTGTAATCACGCTCATCGCCTTGGTCATTCCCCTTGTACGTGTATATACAGTAATCCTCATCAGACATGTCCCCTTCGTTTCCAGAGCTCGAGTCTCGTCTTTCTCTGTGTGTTCGTTGTAACCCAGGCTGTAATCCACTGGGTCCAGGTATCTCTCTGCTCCCATTGATATTGGGCCTGAGGAACCCACAGGTGCCTTGACTCGTCGAGCCAATGCAGCCCCCGATATTATTCAGAACACCATCAGACACGTAATCCTCTGGGCTCGAGCTAGAGCTGCAGGAAACCTTTGGGGGGCACTTGTTTATGCCACACACGTAGTCCACGTTGTTCCTCATGTCCACGTCGTCGTGGGGATGACCTCCGGAAGATGTGGAAGTAGAACTTGGCAAAGAGTGGGTCGTGGAGAAATTGGCGTTCGTCAGGGGTTTGAATCGAGAGGATGTCTCAGCTGGAGAACCATTGGAAATTCCTGGGGACTTTGAAGAACATCTTGGGGAGTCCTCACCCAGGTTGTTGTTGAGTTTGTGTTGATCACCGCCGTTTTGAATCTTTGGGGGCTTACGAGGACCCTCTGGTGAACGATTGTCGTTTGGGGCTTCGTCCATGTCCAGGTCAATTTCATTACGAGGTTTTGTGGGTTTTTCTTTTGAGTTCATCGTGGTGATCGAGGAATTTCCAGTAGTTTTGGGGCAAGCCTATCGAAGACAAGCGATATTCGTAATAAATTTGTCGATGAGGAGGAGTCGAGTAATTAAATAAAATACAATTTTGTACCGCTGCTGAAACAGTTGGATTCACAATCACGATAAATTTAAATAAAATTATCCCGATGAAAAAAAATTTCTGTCACTGGAAAAATGCAATAGAGGTCAAGGTGGTCCGAGCGTATCAATTTACGCAAAATGTCGTACTACTGTTCTACCTTCACTAAAAATAATAATAAATGTTGAGACAATAATTAAACTGTCCCTGATGACACACAATGCCAGATCGTCCATGAATATTTAACTTGTTGCGGAAGGTCACATTCTCCCCCATCCCCGAGGGCCTAAAAATCCCCAGATCCTCTCCCGCGAATCGAAAAGATCCCCCTGAGGGCTCAAGATTTTTGTCCCAAAAAAATCCAAAGAAATCCTTCAACGATTATTTCACAAAGTGCCTGGAGCAAGTGCGTCGCTGTAAAAGCGTGCTCAACCTCAAAAAAAAAAGAAAATAGGGAGAATGAAAAAAAGTACCTGAAGTGAGTTGAATGACACGAGGACTCACTGATGTGCATATTACCTCTGCTTCATGGATATTCGATAATGAGGGGACTGCAATTTGTTTTTCTCGATTGTTTACGTGAGATAAAATGGGAAACGTGTACTGTCACTGGTGCTAATGAGGGGAATGAATTCGGTATACTAACGTTTCCGAGAATATCAGTCCCGGAAGTCAGCTGATTCGACGGAAATGATTTTCTTCAGTCAGAAATTGTGGTGCAGTGCTTCATCCATTCCAAAACAGTATTTCATCGACTGATTGCGCTAAAAATCATTTATTTCCCGTGACCATTGGTTTCTGCAATTCCCGGAGAATTCTGTTCCATTTGTTTTTTATCTTTACTCGAGTTTTTTTCGTATTCTCGAATGAAAATTAATTGAGAGTTGAGAGTGATGGAGTACTCGAGTTGTCGAATATTCATGGAAGCAATGGTATTTTGTATGTAAATGGAAAATAATCAGCTGTCACTGGGAAGAATTAGGAATTCCTGGGGGATGGGAATGTAGATATTTGTAAGCATTCGTGAGCCTGGAGGTTGGCAAGAATATTTTTTACTGTTGAGTTGTGGGATTCACTGTCGTAATGAACATCGTGAAGATTAATGTGAAGAATGTGATCTTTATTATCCTGTCACTCATATCAAGTGCTGTCAATGATGCTCACATCGGTTATGGTGAGAGCGATGATGACAATTTGGACGTAAGTGCCAAAGAATTTAATTCAAGTAGAAATGAAATTTCAATGTTTTGCACATTATTTGCGTGAATTAAATTTTTTTGGCACTCTTAGTCTGTCATTGAGATATCCATGTGGCAATTATGCTGATTGATTAATTATTCTTTCTTCTAGACGAATTGATGAATTATGCCCATAATAATTTCACCTACAATAACAGTAACAGAAAGGTAATTGTTGTCTAAAATGTTCGATTGTTTCAATACTTTCAATTCTTATCAATTTGGTTTCACACAAAATCCTCGGAATCGTTTAAATATAAAAGTTATTATTTATTGTTGATAAAAAAATTATTGAAAGCTGGTTGTTTTATTTACCGGCAGGACGAATTGTATGGAATGTGCCCTGTTGGAGAAATGTGCACAGACTTGAGTGGTGACTGCTTAAAATGCGATATGACGACAAATTGCGTTTATGGAACGACTTATACTGCCAATTGCACTGCTCCAGAGCCTATCGACTGTGTGGTATGTAAACAATTTAAGTGGGCATAATTTTTCTTCAAAATTTCCTCTTGCAATTTAATTCTAAGAGTAAAAAGATGAGAATATTTGACCTCATTTATTTCAGGGAGAGAGAACATTTTCGAAACAGTATATCTGCCGATACTGTTATCAGACTGGCCACTGGGAACATCACTGTCAACAGAAGAGTAGTTGTAGCTCTGTGGCATCACCTCCACAATATTATAAGTAAGCCTTTTTTGTTGCTCGTAATTCTGAATATTAATTTTCTACTGTTTCAGGACAAACTGTACAGTTAATAGCGATATAATATGTCTGGGAAAGAGAAAATTCATGAAGAATTTAAAGTGCAATTGGACGGGGGGGTATCGATGGTCCACCGCTCTCATTTTGAGTATTACACTTGGGGGCTTTGGAGCTGATAGGTAAATTTTTTATTCAATCGAATTTTGGGAAGTTTTCAAAGTGAATACCAATTTCCATTGATTATTTGATATTATATCTAATTAATGGAATAACTGAGGATAATTCGTTATTATTCTGTTTGAATTTCAGATTTTATTTGGGTCACTGGCAAGAGGGGATTGGAAAACTCTTCAGCTTCGGTGGCCTAGGGGTGTGGACATTAATCGACGTAATGCTGATCTCCATGCGATATTTAGGACCTGCAGATGGGTCCCTCTACATTTAACGTGCATTTTACCATCAATCATATTACTCACCATTTTAATATTTATTATTTTTCTCGAGTTTACCTGAGACGTGAATTTACTCATTTGCTCTTTTTACGCAGACGATTTAGTGTTCTCATTTTTCGTGTATCAAAATTTATGACGAGTTTCAGATTCTTTACTTTATTGATTAAAAAGCAAATTATCTATTTTTTATTCTCAAACTTCGTTTGGGTGGTGATTAATGATATACAATATTACAAATTCAAAAAAGGCCAAAGTAAACGTGCGACCTATAGTTTCTTTTAAACTATGTAATGTTTTTTAAATTATATAATATCGATAATTCGTCTCTTATCACCAAATTTATGAATAATGAGTGAAGAACGGGAGATACATGCAAAAACAGTGATCTTTATTAATTGCTGTACAATAACGATTATTCGCAGTACACGCAGCATTCAAACTCAACTCCAAACATAAAGAAAAAGTAAGAAAATGTAATAAAATAAAAAAAAGGAATACCGCTCGTTACAATTTTTCCAGAAAATCGTAACGAGCATGAAGAAAAAATATCGATCTTAAATGATCCACCAAAAGAGTTGTCAAACGTAATAATGAATCCCTAACATCTCTCAATCATATCCAATTTCCTCAATCAAGAGTAATTTATCTCTAGAATCTTCGATTAAAAAGATAAAGCCTCAAAAAATGGAAGGAAAGGAAGTGAAAAGATTTTTGAAGTCAATTGATCGAATTTTATCGTTTCACGATTCAAATTTAGTACGAATATATCAAGAACTTATATTTAAAAAAAAATGAAAGCTAGTTCCTCCGTTTCATTGCTCTGATTCCTCCTCGATTCGTCGAATGACTCTCTTGTAGTCCTCCTCAAGAGCTCGATACTCTTTCTCAAGTGTCTGAATTCGTTGCTCAGCCGGTGGAATAGCGACATTCCCCTTTTTATCCAAATTCCTGAGTGCAGACTCGAGTTTTCTGAGATCATGGAGTTCCCTTTTGTATGGAATATTGAGACGTCTCTTGACAGCAAGCCTATACTCCCTATACTCCTGCTCATTTGTCAAATCCGTCATCTTCAGCCTGAGAATCTCGTAAATTCGTCTCGCCTGTCTTTTGTTGATCTTGAATTTCTCTCTGGCTTCATTCGCCATCTCCTTGTTGAAGTTGTGCATCAAGAGGTCTCGGCTGAAACTTGGAAGTGTCATGCAGTTCATGGCATCCACGTAGTCACGCACTCGTTGGAAAGAGACTGCTGGATCCTCCACTGTGATGTCTTTAACTTCGTTTCTTCCGATGTACTGACGATAAATAGCCTTCAGCAAGTGAGCACAGAGGCCCATTTTCTGGAATGGGGGCAGAATCAACACTTGTGCTATTCGAGGTCTAGTGTGATGGGGATATGCGTAGTATTGGTACACTGTGGCAAATCCTATTGTCCCGTATCGAGGGTTTCCAGATGCTGATGCATATTTTTCGTACCTGGAACAATATTAGATGTTATTTAATGACGGCATTGAATGATTTCTCGTTTCTGTTATTTTGACATTACGAGGATTTAAAATTTATCTTACATGTTGAAATAATGCCATTGGTCGTCATCAACATCAATGAAACTGGCAGCATCAATGTACCAGAGAATGAATGTTTGGAGACGATCGTGATATTCCCTGAAGTCTTTACAACTCATATCAGCTTTATAAACTTCGAAATGACGAACTTGTTCATTATCTGTGGAAAATCATGAATTGAATCATTAATACGATTATTTAATTAAGGACGTTATAAATTAATTCGTATCAAATTTTTATGATTTATCCTGTCTCTGCAGATGAAGGAATCAATTCAAAGTGGATTAAAACTTTTTTCAATGACAAAAATTTAACAACCTTGTAGTAACTGTTCTCACCGTTAACTGAAAAGGAGTGTAGCAATTCGCCAGCGGGTCTGAAATTATCATCCTTGACCAGTGTTTTGACGAAAGAATCTAAATTATCGTGAACATTTGGTGGCAATTTGTCAGTCATCTTGCCAAGGACATCATCAGGCTCAACCCCTTCGTATACACCTTTCTGTAGTTTTTCAGAATACGTCATACCGAGGTATGTCTCGAGCCATCCAGCTGAGTAATACAGCTTGACCTTCAAATCCTTGTATCCAAATATTGTCTCACTGTCTCCGAAGACCTGATGGGACATCTCGGGGGAGAAGGATGTCTCTTCATTCTCCAAGTCTTCTTCGCTTCGAGCTAATTTGAACTCGAGTGCATCGTTGCTGTCGATCACATATGCCTTGAGACGTGCTTCTACTGCTTCATCCATTCTAAAAAAAATAATCCAAAAAAAATGTTTGAAAAATTCGTGATTATAACCGTTTCATTCAATCGTTATTTCCCCCAGTTGAATGTCCATAGTCATCGATCAAATATATAATAATTGAATTAACCATTGTAAGAATCCACCGGCGTCTAAATTGTTCAACGGTCGACCCTAGTCTAACCTCAACCCCAAAATTATAAGAACCTCGGTAGGAAAAATTCTCAACATTTTCCAAGCCTTAAAAATATTCTTGTATGTTCTCTTTACAAAATGACAGTTTACCTGAATTATCTTCGAGGGTGTTTTAGACGGAAAAAAGAAGGATGAAGTGGATAAAATTCAGGAATACACAAAATCCTCCTGTGGCAGAGGCTTCGCGCCAAATGTCTCTCGTAAAAACTTCAAGAAACTGATTCGTCGCCATCACAGATTGGCGCTGCCACATTGAATCCATTTGGCGGATTCTTTAAAAGCTGTATGATTTTTTTTGTAGAACGAAATTGAGTATTCTTAGTTGTCAGTGAAATTGAGATTTCATGGTTATTGCAGGGAATCCATTTTCAAGTTTTTATTCTGGTCTCTGCTGTTTTCTGCTGCCATTCTCGATTAAATCCGTTGCGTGAATGACCTCTGAAAAATTTTTCTGCGCATATTGCCTCGATTGGTGAACACTAGATGGTATGAGCAGACACTGGCATTTTCTCCGTAAACACCTGAAATTCCGAACAGCGCGTCCTTAGTGGTAGTGGCGGTAATGAAAGGCTTCCCGGCCTTGTGTAGCAAAATGGTCGACAGATTCCCCCAGTGAGTGTGTGACGTTCTCTTCCCCGACGTGTTGTGTTGGTGTCTCATTCGCTTTTTAACGAAAAGTCTATTATATGTAACTGTTTGTGTTTATTTTCCTGTTGAGTGTTTTGTGTTTATCCCATTGCATTTCTATTATTTTGGAATACACGGATTTTACCAGTTTGTTATCCACGTATGGGTGAGTGAAGAATTTTTATATTTTGCTGGGTTGAGTAATGTACGCTGTGAAAATCCAACGTTATACTAAGTATTCAATATCCTCACGTAATTTTATACTTATCTATTTATTCTTGACAAGTGAGCAATATTGTCAATGGAAAAGTCGACAAGTTGGAAAAAATTTGTAATGGCAGATGATCCCCAAATCTCAGTGTATCTTACGTGGTGGGGTATTTATGTTCCACTGCCTTAACCATAACATTTTTATGTCATTCCTGCATTTTTTGTAATTCTTTTTTTTTCGACCCGAATGGTAGGCGTTAATTTTATGACACGACAACGCGACGTATTCGTCAGTTGAATGCAAAATAACCGCCAGATTAAAGACCAAGTTAATCTCCTTCTTTTATCAGCTGCCTTGAACCTACGGAGTTAGTTTTCATAAAAAAATTTCTTCACTCAATTTGTTTCATTAAACTCACTAGATCAAATAATAATGATTACCAGAAGGATTAATATCTCCCCAATTGATCAAATTAAATGTGAAAAAAAATATGAGTTTCTTCTTGTAACAATTTTACTCTCATTTTTACCGTGTAACATGGCATTAACCTTTCCAGCGATCTTGATTGCAAGAGAAATCTGTTTTTGAATTTAAATGGGTTTTGAGGGGATTGTGATTATCATCATTCTAAGGAGCAGAATGCATTTTCTCTCTAAATTACTGGTGTACGTATAAGGTAACATTGCACTGGGAGAGAAAAAAAAATGGATATTTTCCCTGGGAGTAGCAAATGCAATGTTTTTATTGAAAAGTGTTTGACACTCAATGCCATCACCCACGGAGACGCGCATAATGAGATCATGGATCAATTAATCAGTGGTAATCACTCGAGGGATCGTGGTGTTGAACAGGAGTTGACTTGTACTGGAATTTTCGTAGAGTAAAAATAGATGGATAAATGGAAATGAGAGTAGAGGGAATGGTATGAATGTGAAAAGGCGCTCGTCTACATGTGAAGGATCCCTTCTTGTCTCGTACGCATGCCAAAGCCCTGGTCATAAGTTACGTCGTCGGATCAACGGCATTCCACTGGAGAAAAGATACCTCGAGGATCGACTTCTCCACTCTAACCACTTCTTCTTCGCCCTCCACTTCGTTTATCGTTTTTCTCATGTTTGTTGTTGATCATTTATTCCTTTTTCGCTGTCCTCAAGGTTCAAACGTATTTGCCCGATTTCTTTTTTTGATTTTCTCTACATTTTCAAGGGTAAGTGGAACGGAAAATTCAAAAAACCGGTAATTTTGGCTGAAAGGGAACACAACATGAGCACAGAAGGGGTTTCAAATATGAGATGGTGTCGGTAATGCAATAACTGTGGGTTCAACGAGGTGTACCAGTATTACGGGTTTAAGGTATCAATATCGTGGTTAGAAAACAAAATAAACAGTCAAGAACTAGATAATTTTTTCAAATGCATTGTTGGGTTCTTTATGAAATTATATATCAAGTTTCAGGGGGTCTTAATTGACTATTGAAAAAAAATCTTCGATAGCACATCGATGACTTTTACTTTTTAGCTTATTCAAGATATCAACCATTTCAGATTTTTCGTGATGATAAAATCATTCAATCATTCTTTGTGCCTGAATATTTTTTTGCTGGATTTATTTTTATGGACTTGTATTCGGGAGAATTATACCATACTGGTATTGACACGCTGAGGAACATTGTTGTTTGAGACACGACATATAATTTCGACTAGAACATCCGGGCTTGAACATATTCTCACAGCAAAGCTTCAACCTCATTTCGGTAATTAATTCCTGTCTCGAGGGACTCAAGCGTCATCGTCATTCTGAGTGATGTCGAGGGAGTTTTTAAGTTTTTAGGTCAATTCGAATGCGAATTATTTTTCATTCCACTGGCATGAAAGAGACGCTAATAAAACAGAGATAAAAAGTTTGAAAAGTATTCTCACAATAATATGTCGTTGGCGATTTCCTCTCATTACGATCCTTCCAATTATTGTGTTTCAATCCCTTATAAAGGCATGACAGTTTAATTGTAAGAAAGAAATCCTACATCTCCATTATATGATTTAAAATTTATGCTTCCCGTGGATTCTCGTTGATTGACAAATAATCGATTGGCGGAGAAAAATTCTCACGACATTTAAGTGAAAAATTTCAAAACGAGTAAAAAAAGAGGTCATAAATTCACTCCAACTCAGTCAAAGTGAAAATTGATGACAATAAAACATCACACAGTGGAATTACTGATTAATGAATGATTAATAGTTTAGAATTGGTATGGAATCAATAATTTTCTTGGAATATTCGTGAAAGTTTTTATTACGTGCGTGTCTCTTGACCATTAATCAAATACCATTCGCAATCAGTCATAAATTCCAGGAGACAGAATTTTTCAATTGATACGATAATATGTAAATAATTGAAATGCTTGCTCATGACGGCTGCAGAATTCAATGGAGATACTAACCGCTGATACGTATTCCATTAAAATTAAGATTTCGAGATATTTGCTCGCACTAATGTTTTGTCTATTCTCTCCTCATTTCAGAAAAACGAAAATTAAAAAGGAGGATGGACTGTGACTCGTGAAACTAGGTAAAGTTATCGTTGAAATAAAGATACATTGAATTTTTTTCCGGAGAATTGAATTGCATAATACTTTAACAAATACTTCAACGGAGAAGACATCCAATGGGGACTAGGAGAATATTCATTTTCCATAATTTATGATATGTAAGAGCTATGAGTGAAAAGTTGTCTCAGAGACTCACTCGGGCGAACGTAATATCAATATTTCTCTCGGCTTTCTCTGGAAAAGCTGTAGCTCTAGCTGTGCCTCAAGTTTTGCAGAGAAACTCCTTTAGCCAGCAAAACTTGACAGTTCCATCATACAACAAAATTGGCGAAGGAATATTATGAAAACTGTGAATACCTTCGCGAATTACTTCTGAAAATTATTTCCCTCGGTGTAATTTCAGAGAATAATTGAAGAATTACTAAAACAGTGTCTGGAAAGTTTCAGGACAGTATTTCTATGAATATTAATTTTATTCTTTCGGTCGAAACGTTATCTGACTTCGTTTTACCACATCTCAATTTTTTATTTATTCATACGTATCGACTCTAACGGGTTATCTATACAAATATATAATGGCTAATTGTTTCAAACTGTTACAATCTTATTTTGCATAATTTTTAGAGGCTTCATATTTTTTGCCATTAAGAACTGTGAGCTGTGAGCTGTGGTCAATATTCAAACGCGGGGAATACCTACACTTTGCGATTATTACTCTCCGACACTGACATACAGCCTTTTGTCCGTAATTCCAGGTTTTCACTAGCATATCTATTACTACATAACCCCTTCTCAACATATCGGTTATGAACACCTCGTAGTGGTAGTTTATGCTGCTGGTTGGAAATATTTGTTAGGCTTCACTGATCGTTGAACCTACTAGCGATAGGTTACCTATCAAAATACCACAACTTAAAATATTATCGCTTCAAAACATTACAGCAGGAAAATATCATAGCTGCCCTAAATTTGTAAAGAAAGAATTCCAATCTCATAAAACGGTAATAATTTCCTGAACTGCAAATTGTCACAGATAAACCGCTGACAATGTCCTTTCAATAGGAAAAAGTAAAAGTGAATTCCACTAAAGTGTTCTTATTTACCAGTAATTTTTCATAAAAAAAATTTTCTCGATGTCGATGGTCCGTAACTGCTGCGTCCATCATTGGCTTAAATTGTTGAGCACTCATCCATTTTTGCATGCATCTCTGATCGTGTTGCTTTCACTCCTATTATTCAAACTCGCTCGAAAAAAGAGACGTGGTAAAAAGTGAATTATTTATTTGTAAAAGGCTCGAGCCCAAAGTGCAGGGTAAGGAGAAGCATTGCTTTTCACCACGTCGTCACGTGGAGAACGCTAAGGGTCACGGTACAGTAACACGTCCTGTTAAGACTAACGCAACTTATGAATGTAGTGTGAATTTTTCGCTACACATTCCTACATATTTTTCTAGAAAGATTATTAATGCTTATGTTATTGCTCTTGATATTATATTATAATTAATTGGGAGGAATGAGAGGTCTCGGTTAAATGTCGGTGGGCGGGGGAATCTTGAGTTTGCGTTTTTTTTTTCGGCAATTTTGCCAGTGAATTCGGACTAAATGGTCTTCATTTATCGACTAAATTATAATTGGCTGTATTACAGGACTTATGAGATAATCGACACTGAAATTAGGGCTTGTTGGAACGTGAAGGATGCCGAGAGTGAGTCAATGATCTTTCAAACTACTGTCGACTTCAGTAAGAGATACTGAAGGATTTGAGATGATCTTCTTGAATTTTCCATCACAAAACGCGACGCATTTGCACGGCAAAGATTTTAATTATCTCAACTCGCAATTACATATAACGAGCAAGGAATCGTGAAGAGGCATTTGTCGTAAATTTCAGAAACTCACGTAAATTCGACGCCAATAGGGTCCCAACGCATGAAGTCGTTCGCTCCTAGCTCACCTATAAATTTCATCCAATAATTCATGAAAGTCGTTATATTTTTGCCCTTACATTTTTCAAAATTTTATGATTTTCGTGGACGAATTATTCCTCTCATTTTCATTCGATAAATTACCGTAGTAATTGTGAAATCATACGATTGGATGATCTGAAATATAAATCTACACTTGTAATTTCAAGGATTTATCAAATCGTGTGCAGTCGAAATGAATTTCTACATACAGAGGAATTTTTCACTGAAGTAAAATATTTCAATAAAAAAATGTCCACTAGAAAATTTTTAATCTGGAATTGTTCTTGATTTTAGAAAACTTAGTGAGCGAATAATTTACTTTCATGTGGAAACACGAGCTGGATTGCGATAAATAAGCTAAAAAATCGCGTGTCTTTTCCATTATGAAACTAAATAATGAGACATGCAATGTCCATGAAGTCTCAAATCTGCATTGCTCAGGAGAATTTTTAAACTTATTCAACTCCAACTTTTTCTTTAGAAAAATATAAAAGCGTCAATCATTGAGTAATTTTAAATAAAACCTAAATTACGTTGTAAATAGTCGTAAATTACAATTACGTTGATCTAATGGTAATTTACGACGATTATAAATTCAATTAACAATTGTGCAGTCGTAACTTACGCTTCGACATAAATCGTAAAATACATGTTCAAAAGTATAAAATACTGTTTTTTGAACGTAATTCGTAATTACATTTTTATGTGCACGCACATATGGTTTTGAATTCATTAAAAATTCCTTATGAGTGCTGAAGCCGTTCTTCAGGAAATTACCATGACCGTAAGAAATCTGGTTTAAGGAAATAATTCTTTTCTTACAGAGTCTTCCTTCGCGGATAGCAACTGTTCTGGATACTCAAGTTTTTTATAGTTTAAAAAGTCTCTAGCGGGATCAATAGTGAAGTGGTAAAACGCGCCGAGTCGGTATCTCAAATTTAATATTAGACATTGAAACTTGAACGTTGACCTTTCATTTTCATTACGAGTTTTAAAATGAAGAATTGCCGCAGAAGAAACTAATGAAAAAAAAAACTTATCATTAATATAAAATAAAATCACGAGAAGTATATGCCAGGTCCACCTAATATTCATATATCACTCATACAATTGTTCTTTTTCGTGATATAACGCACTACTCCGCACTCGAAGGATAAGCTGTCGCGTGAATAATTCAATATTTTCCCGTGCAACAGATTCACACTCAACTAGAATAATTGCCTCCTTCAGACGTCTGCATTAACTCACACGCGTTACTAAGGAAATGGTGATGCCTCAAAGCCAAGGATTCGTACTGAATTCCAAAGTAGAGAATAAGTTTGTTGGGGATGTCGTTATTACTGTACATTCGCACTGACTGGTGATATTAACCAGCAGATATGAACGCTTCGATGCACCTGTTGAGTACCGGCTGCAAGAAGATGCACAATTAAGTGAATAAACAGGAGTAAACCATGCAAGAGAGTCATCAAATCACACTCAATTAAATTTCAAAATGTTATCATTCTCATAATCAGAACGTAAATGACAATTCACGTACTTTACGTTAATTCCGACGAACCATCGAATCACACTGATGTTTCTTTTCAATTCAATACCCGGGAAACAATGAAAACTCGAAATAACCACTTTGTTTACTACTTTGGTGAACGATCACTCATTATGCGTCATATATTGGTTTATGTATGGGAGCTGTTTATTCACTGTCTATTGAATTTACATATTCTCTGCACACTCCTGTACTCAAGTACCGCCTCAATTGTATGAGCGCAAATGAATAGAATATCCAACACCTACACTAATATGGAGCTTTTTAATGGAGAACAGGGTGAAGGGACTTTTTTTTGACCAAATATTGGTTTACTCGGAGGATCACGTCCCTGATGTCATATTTCAACTTTTTTGGTTCCACAGATTTTCAGCGAGAATCGCAATTCTAGTTTATGTGACATTAAAGTTCAACAAACATGATAGATTCATTGCGTGGTGAAGCTTCAAGGCTGCTTATCCGTGGGATCAGTTTAAACTTTAGAGATGATATTTTTTTTTTTTCAATTTTATAGCTCGGTTGAGAGGATTAGAGTTTATTTATTTACATGGGTATTGATGTGGAAAGAAGGACTTAGATGAATGGTTTTTGTTCAACAGGTTATTTGAGTGGGCCTGAAGAATCGGTGAATACCGGTAGTTGCCGTAATGCCAACTTATCACAATGCGAGTGGTGGTTACCCAAATGTATCAGCGCCAACTCGGCAGGGAAAGGTTGATGGAAACCAAAATCATCATACAATATCATCGAACGTAACGGCCCATTCTATAATTCAGAACGCAATTCAGTCGCTGCAGTCGATTCAATCAATGCACTCGATACCTACAAATAACTTGACTGGATCAAACAATATGTTGCCACATCCAGTTTTACCGATCATGACAACTCATTCGTCTGTCACATCGCAGAATGTACAAACCCACATGAGTCCTGTTACTTCACCAGTTATTTTAACACCAAATGCCGTACCCAATTCGAGTAACTTGACAGTATTGTCGGCTAATACGAGACATGAAGTTAAACTTAATGCTATGCCATGGTTTCATGGAAAAATATCAAGAGAAACAGCAGAAAGACTTCTACGACCTCGAGAGGACGGTCTCTTTCTAGTCAGAGAATCGACAAATTTTCCAGGTGATTACACGCTGTGCGTGTGTTTTCAGGGAAGAGTCCAGCACTACCGAGTTAAATACAAAAACAATCAATTAACAATCGATGATGAAGAATTCTTTGAGAATCTTGCTTTACTCGTGGAACACTACGAGCAAGATGCAGACGGTTTGTGCACACAGTTGACTAAATCCCTGCCAAAACAGGGCAAACAGGATTTTTGCGTCGATCCGAAAGCCTTTATCGAGGCTGGATGGGTCATACAGACCCATGAGCTCGAGTTACGTGAATGCATAGGCAAGGGAGAGTTTGGTGATGTTTTACTCGGGGTTTATCGGGGCGAACGTGTAGCTGTTAAAATGTTAAAGGATAATAGTGAAGCAGCACAAAGGTTTCTCGCTGAAGCAAGTTTAATGACATCACTCATACATGACAATCTCGTTAAGTTACTTGGTCTCGTATTTAATAATCAACATATGTACCTGGTTACTGAATACATGAGCAAAGGATCGCTTGTTGATTATTTGAGATCAAGGGGAAGATTGCACGTTACCAAAAAGGATCAGATTAATTTTACATAGTAAGTTCATAGCATAATTTAGTATGTAGAGGGTGGAGGTATGAAAGTCTTTGGGTTAATTCATTTTGAAACCCGTCATGGAGCTGAATTATTCGACTCTAATGAAACGGCTTTCAAAATTCAATTAATTAAGCTATTTACTGGTGATGCAACCGAAGACGACTTTTACTCTTCTTCAACGCTCATTCAATTGCTGATTTCCAAAAAATTTCCTCATTTTAAGTCTGCCTTGGTACTGCATTGGTGGTAGATGTATGAGATGATGATTCAAAGGATTGTAACAAAATATGACACTGTATTACACATTGTTTTGATAATTGCAGTGATACATGTGCTGGAATGGCCTATTTAGAGTCCCGCCATGTGGTCCATCGAGATCTAGCTGCTAGAAACGTCCTTGTAGCTGAAGACAATTCAGCAAAAGTGTCAGACTTTGGTTTAGCGCGAGATGAAAATTTTTCGCTCGATGGAGGTAAACTTCCGATCAAGTGGACTGCACCAGAGGCTTTAAAACAAAATGTAATAATTACTATCCCCCATTCGTTAAGACTAACTAATGACTACCTGAATCTGATTCTCATAATTGCAGAAATTTTCCAATAAATCCGACATGTGGAGCTTTGGAATTCTCCTCTGGGAAATTTATTCTTTCGGCCGAGTACCTTACCCCAGAATAGTACGTATCATCATTTCGGTATCGTTGAAATAAACATTATTATAGAACAGACCATGGGGAAATAATAATAATAATAATAAATTTAATCTCTAGCCATTGGCAGATGTCGTTAAGTGCGTAGAGAAAGGATATAAAATGGAACCACCGGATGGATGTCCCTCGGAAGTTTATGATATAATGAAGCAGGTGGGAATTTTCTTGAGATATTTCTCTTGAACGACGTAACAGAGACAAATTCAATTTAATAATAATATATCCTTTGGTTTTATGCTCGAAACAGGCTTGGGATTTACAACCAGAGAAGAGACCATCGTTTCACGATATTAAAGTTAAACTCGCTTTTCTGAAGGCTGAGTACACCAAATATGCAAATTAAACAAAGCTACTTATACCATGTGGATTTTTTTTATTATGCAGAAAGCAACATACGAGCGCTTCGTTCTCTGAAATACGTTGAATTAAGAGGAGAATATATTACGAAATTCAGAAGCTCTCGAGGCTTTACTGAGATGACCTGACCAATAGATAGAATATTTAAATTTTTATTGACAATTGCATAAAGAATAGAATGAAAACTATAATTATACAATGATAATATAGTAGAAATGTGAGGTACACTTGACTTCTTTCATTTTAATATCATCCTGGCTTCATTTTTAAGCTATTCTAAATCTTCCAAAGAGTATTCAATTAATTTCTATCGAAGATCCTTTAGATATGACTCTCTCTATTGGTTAGATTATCGTGTTCGTTACAAGTAACTGAGGGAAAATTGACTGTGAAATTTCGTTGATTTTATTTGTATTTATTATCAATTTAGTCTGGTAATTGGAGGATCGTCCGTCACATTAACTCCTCTTTTCATTCATTCGTAATATTTAACAACCACGTTACCTATGTCGATTGTGCCTTTGTTCACGTAGATATTTTTTTATCAGAATGAGTATTCGAAAGTGGCACTTCACCAAATTTGATGAAAACCCCACAAGACTGGTCACTCAATCGTTCGAAATTTTTCATTAACATGAGGCAACAATTTTTGAAGATAATAGAAATAAGAATGACAACACGGTATTAAATTAACAAATTTTTATGATGCAAAATTTGGAATATTCAAAACACTATATCAGTACACAAGACTGTTTCAAAATTATGAGTTTATGTAGATTCTACTGTCTATTGCATGGATATGTTTTCATAGTAACTTGTTTTCACAAAGTGGTGATTCCTGGAGCACAAACTACAATCCTTCGAATCTATGCACATGAAACAATCGTAATTACTCTCACTTAAAGAATAAACAGATTGATAAGTAGCTTAGGTTCATGCTCAAAAGTCGTACGTGTTAATTCCATAATTTCATCCATTAGTCCACGTAGATCTGCTATTTCAGCTGAAATCAGTATGAAGTATAAACGAAGAGAGAAATTAATACTGTATATTAATACTTTTTTTTTTATCAAAGATATACAGTAGTTAGATTATTAAGCGGTATTAAAATTCAATATATGGAGTGACTAAGGTACACAACTCCCATCGATTACGAGATATTTGTCATGATTATCAACAATGTAAATTGAAATGTAAATAATTTTGTACATAGCTATAATTTTAAATTCGGAATGAGTGAAATTCCAGTAGACCGAGGAGAAAGAAACGTTAACAAGTGATTAGAGATTTAAAACAAATGTTCATATACTCGTTTAAAGTTCTAAACCTACATATAATGCATTTTATGCAATAATAAATGATTGAAAGAAGGTGAAAAATAGTTGTGAGATCACTTTGGGTATTTGCCAGCTCAAAGACACTATAAGAAATATTTAATACTACATTGAGTTTTCGATTGCAGGGTGAACTATCCTCGAAAACATTTATTTCTTTAGTAGATCAGAGTCGAAATATTAAGGTCATTGTGCAGCTATGATTCAAGATGCTTAACTATGCCAACGATATCATTTGTTCAACTTTCATTCTGCTGAACTTTGAGCAAATTAAATAAATTTTAAAAAAAGTAACTGTGACTCTGTGTTGCCATTGCAGTTTGGAATTAGAGTTAGACGTAGATAAACGTGTAAATTTATACTTTAATATCGATTATCCAATGAAAATGATAATATTCATCAAGAAAAATTCTATAAAATCGTCGAGCATTTTCCTTTCCCTGCATAATTGAAAATATATTTAATAAAGTCAGTGATATCATTTATTGACAAAATTTTATTTGAGAACTTGAAATTCAATAGCGTAACACAGAGTCTGAAATTTTTTATATATTGATAGAAGATATTTATTTTGGTACTCAAAGCGCGACGAGTAACATGTTCCCAACTGCGTTGTTTTAAAACGTAGTGATGAAAGATAAAATTTCCGTTTCCATCTTCACTTGTAATCTTGAATTCATTAGATCTTAAGAAATTTAATATATATTAAAATCGAATACGCAAATATATAATTGAATTGAAGCAATAACAAGTTTTCATTTACTGCACCGTTTCATTTACCTAGGTTAAAAGAATAATTGGTTTAATTAGTGATTTTCTGTGCTTCTATCTACTTCTATCCTCGTGTGGTTCATTGGTAATTCTTTTACGATGGAAAACGCTCATAAACGATGAAGTTAAATTTTTCACAATCTTCATAATCGTTGACATCGGAAACTGAATTCATTCTAATAGAGAATAAAAATGAAACTACTTTAATATTCAGCGTTGAGTGATCTATAAAGAGGTGCAATATAAAAGACTTTGTAATTGCCAACTGGTGCAAATAAATTGATGTTTTATTGCGGCTGTCAGCTCGTCGCCTCCCACAATTTCATTACTTCCCTCGGTGAGTGAAAATTTGCTCCTCGTATTCCATTTCCTGATGAAGTTTCTTAGCTCCCCAACTATAATCGTAAATTTGAGGTCACGTTTCGTTATTAGGTTCATTGGTTCATAAAATCATTGTTACTTCTTAGATCAGATGAAAAGTGGACGAAACTGGTGGAATAAACTTCCAATAAACTGAAAAAATAAAGAGACTATACCTCCCCACATGTCAGAAAATCACAAGGAAATAATTTTATTTAATTAATCCGATTTAATTGAAATCGTTTGGCTCAGAAATTAATACACTTGGATCATTTTCCTATTTTTCCACACATCAAAGTCTCCAGTATTTCGTCATATCGTTTGATTTTATTTCTCCTCCAAATGATTTCTCTTGCTCTGGATTTATTGATATCAATTTTAATGGCCTTAGCTCGAAATTCCCCGAACTTCAAAGACTTGGAATTCTCTCAATCAATCCAACTCTAGAGGCACACATCAAAGGGCATCAATGAATTGCATCGATTCCCTAGAGTTGAAACGTTTCGGTTATTCTAACAGTAATGGAAAATTCTCGGATATATTTGATTGATAAACTTTCATTAATTTCATATTTTTAATTTAAGTCAAATCAGAAATAAAAAAATATGTGATGCCCTGGGAAACTAGACTTTTGCCGGTTTGATAATCCATTTGTCATACTGAGGCTATTTGAGTATTAAAATGAATATTTATCTCATTTGCTTACTAAGATAATAATTAAATTTCCAATTATTCGCGACCTGGATGAAACTCTCATGTTCTCGTGACTCCATTCGAGCCTTTCCTATCGATTATAATTTTCTGAGTAATTCTTTGATATCGTTGAAATCCTCCTTTTCATTTTTTTCCACTCGTTTTAATATCTGCGCTCTCGGATTTTTTTCGTTTTATAGAGGATCTCAGGAGTTCTCCATCAATGGTCTTTTCATATCCATTTCCACGGAAAATATTCCGTCTGGATCAACATCATGTTAGATTCACTTTTTTTCCGCCGTAATACGATTCTCGGTTTCTTCATCCTTTTCACTGGCATACGGATTTCCTAAGTAGGAAAGAAGCGAAAGAAAATTATACGTATCTTACGGTCGAAAATCGTGCCAACATCTTCATCTTCACCCTCCGTATGAATTTATCCACTGTTTTATAAGATTTACCTGCACTCGGTTTCTCGTTAGGAGCTGTACAAAGAGATATTTCATTTTCTTCATCGTCTAGGTCTTTTTCAGGATTTTGAACGGGGTTCTCTGATAAGGTCATAACAAATGGTATTGTACGATCATCCCCAATATCTTGAGTATCTCCAATTTCTTTTTTCACTTTCGCCATTTCTGCAGGATTTAGAAGTCTCTGATAATTGCTTTGATGGCCATTATCTGGTTTTCTATAGAAATCCAAACAAAGAATTATCACGATTTTCAAACGACTTTTCCTTTTTTCAATGCCATGAGCCTAATTAAATCCACATTATTTTTATTTAAACATTTGAAAAAAATGCAAGAGGTGTTCTACAGAGAGTTTTTGCCCATATTTATTGCATGTATTGCATGTATGTGTTGATTGGGAACATATAGGTGAAATTTGAGTAAATACAAATTGAAGTAATGGGAAAATGAAAAGAAACGCTGGTTCACCCTCACTCTCTGTAATCCTCCAACCTCGAGGTATCCAATTTATTCTGACAATACCAATAATTTCTACCGAAAAGTTATCTCCTTAGACTGTTCCAATTCACGTTCGTACGTGGTTTCTGGGCTACCAACGTGCGGTTTGAGATTCAGTCTCCTCGGGCTACGAACTTCGATGTGAAAGGGATCCGGGGAGTCGTACGTCTGTGGTTGCATTGTGGTTTCACGTCCGAAGGGACTAGCAGCCGACAGACTACCAGGATACGCGTGCCATCCACCACTACCATCGAGATCTACATGTCTATTGTCACGAGGTATCATTGTAAACCGACGATTCTCCATTACCTTCTCAACTTGACGTATTTTACTCTCAACATTCCTCAATCGAGTTTCAGCAATTATCCGCTGTGAGCGATAAGGAGCGAAACTCAAATTTACCCTCTCATCGCATTCCTTCTGTCTCAGAGTTATCAGCAGCTGACGTAGTTCCTCATCAGACTTCATGCCCAGGATCATTACATCGAATTGTTTACTGCCTTCAGCACCCATTTCTTGGCCACTCACTTGACGACTTATTAAACTATCGACATGACCTTTTAAAACATTCACTTTTAATTGAGTCGTTGTCAGAATGTGGACGATATTCGTTGGTGGATTGGCAGTCATGTGGAGATTTATCAAAGCACCAACTTGTTGAGCATTTCGAGACTCAGCTGACAATTGTTCTTGGGCTAGATTATTCAGAGCGTTCTGACTCCTCTGCATGATCTCCTCAATAGGATTGGTAACATTTGACCCTGGGATCCTTCTTAGAATCATCCTGGTGGCTGCACAAGAGATGACTCCAGGCACAGCTAACAGCTGTGCTGCTAGTGCTTGTAAATTAATTGCTGATGGACAGTTGCGTTTTGAGCAGATCGTCTCGTCATCGGTCTCACTGCAGAAATGCTGGTCAGGTTGAATCGAGGGTTGAATTTGATGAGCAATAGCCTTGGTGGGATCAGGTGAGGTGTGGAAGCAGCAGGAGCAACGGAGAGGCTCAGCTGATGGCTTTTGAGGGCTATTTTGAAGCATAAATGGATTGAAAATTGGCATCGGCATCGGCATGGGGCATGGGTAGTAGGCAGCTGGTTGAAAAAGCTGCGATTGTCCGCAGGGAAGTCTCATTCCATGACATTCCAGACAAGAGGGCTGAGGAGATGGAGGAGTTGAACAACTCGTAGGAAGGATAAATATTGGCCCAGATGAGGGTGTTAGGATGGCTTTGATCTGCTCGAGAAGTCCGGGGGCGAGCTTTAGCGGCTTTTCAGGGGATTGAGAGATGCAATGATCTTGATTTGGCTGTTGGTAATTTGAGGTGAGGAGGTTGGATCTTTGGGGATTTGGGAAGGCATCTGAATGACATTGCGGCTGCGGTTGGGGGCAATCTGATTAGAAATTGGGGATTGTTTGTTATTGTATTAATTGCTTCTTCGTCAACTCGTAGAAAGACATACTTGATTGGGTTCCCGTCATGATACCAAATGATGGTGGCTGGTAAGTTGGATTACAGGATTGCGGTATTTGCTGTTGGTTTTGGAAAAAGTTACTCTGATCCCCTTGGACTTGATCGTTTTGAAAGGTAGAGGTGATTGGGGGGACGTTCGCGTGACATTGAAACCAACCTGAGAATAATCCAAGATCTTCATTTATATTTGCTGAAAAGGTGAGAGTGAATCCAAATTAATACGTTATTTATGCATATTCACCATTTCTGTTCATTTTGGAAATTATTCAGAGTTTATTTGACACTGAGAATTTGGAGATTTTGGCCCGAAAATTATTTAAAACTCGCCCATGTTTTTTGCTTAATTTTGAGGTGTGGTTTTGTGATAAAAAAATGAAGAGCGAAAGTTCTTTGGGGTTTTCAAATGTCGCAACGGAATTTCTCTGCAAATTGCTGCGGTCAAGCGTAACACAAATTTTTTAATTCGCAAAATTGAAGAGAATGGAGTAAAATAGAAGTTGTTCAATGGCCGATAGCCGGATTGTAGTAGACTGAAATTCAATGAATTTTATACGGTTTTAGAGCTGTTTGGGAGTGTACATGTGACGGGTGCATTGCAGTGACATGTTTTCTCACCCCTCTATAATCGAATTTTTGTGTAGCAATGAATTCCATCAGGTTACTTTATGAATACTTTGAACACACGGCATTTGAAATCCGATGAAAAATCTGGCGGCCAAAAAGTTATAAGGTATTTCAAATGGTTTGACATTTATTCTAGAACCATTGCTGTAGTTTTAAAGTTTATTACCAGTAAAATTGATAGGCAGATCACGAAAAGACCAACAACTTTTGTCGAATAGGCTCGCAACCGTGCCTGTTTTTGCATGAAATTTTACAACCGTCTTCACATAAAATCGGATTACCCAATTTAATTTTAGCGCTGCTTTTTTAAATATCGCAGAATCTGAGAGTGAAATTTTGATGTGGATAGTTAAATTAGATTTTCAAAAAGATACGAGATCACAATTTCTCTACTCAATTAGCTTTCGTTGCTATGCGGGGATTTCCGGAATTTCGAAAAAAAAAATGAAAAATGAGAAAATATTGTAAGCAATTCCTGACGCAATTCCAAAACCACTGAAGAATTTCAGACGAGTTGATCAAACTGTTGGCAGTGGCGGTATAAACATAACAGTAAAGAGTCAAAACGAGTTTATCTTTGCTTCTGACGTAACAGAGGAATAGTAGGGGCATACAATCAGACACATGAGTACGTGCGAGCTAGTTCATTGAGCGTTCAAAAACGATGATATAATTTATATTCGGCGTAAATTCCACCAATTGAGAGGACACGTGTAAAAAAAGAAGATCAATCGGTGGTATTTCTCAAGAATATCATAAATTAAACGGTCGTATACTCAGGAATTGGTGTAGCTCGTGACGTTGAAGCCCGGAAATAAATTCAGTGCTGAAGTGTTGAAATAAAGTAAGAGTAATAAAATAAGCCCTCTCTGCTGGGCGTTCCACTTTTTGCTGAACATTTCGGAATCAGAAAAAAAAGCGTGAGTAAAAATTGGATTTCACCTGTATACAGTTTAGATTGGATTCAACGAAAACGATTGCAGAACAACTCACTTAGAATTTTTTTTTTTCATTTTTTCTTCGGTTATTTGCTGGAGACGTTGCGCAAAATTATTCAGTATGAAGTTGAAAATATTTGAAAATTCAGTACGATTGACTTATTCAATTTCAGAATATTTAAGAATGGGGGAGACAACGTTGGAATCTATTAATTTTATTGAGACTGATTTGATACCCGAGATGGTGCACAATCGATGCTTCTGTGAGTCAGGATCACGTGAATTCGTAGAGTTTGAATCGGTATCAGTGAGACCACTGATAACATCTCGAGTGAATAAGACTCGTGAATTATACAGAGGTAAAGTGATCATCAGGTTCTCAGGGGAGCCCAAATCCTTTGACATCATCATAAAACTCCTACCCACCAGCTGTCAAGATGACGATCGAGCTTACGGAAGTTTTCTAAATGAAGAAATGTTCTATAACAAGATGACAGCAAAATTCAAATTGAATATTTATCCTAAATGCTATGCAGCTGATATGGGTAGATACGGTCGCCCGGTTGTTGTTCTGGAAGACCTCGAGGCCGTTGGATATCGCCATCTTTCTACCAAACTGGATGGCAATCACTTGAAATTGTTACTCCAGGCCATTGCTGAATTTCATGCCTGCGGGATCGACCTCAAGCACAAGGAGTTCTCGATATTTCGAGAATTCTACGCCAAATTAATAGAGACTAAGAGTGACGGGGACAAGTACATGGAAAAATTTTATCGGTATACATATAATATATATAGGAAAACTTATTCATAACGAGAAAGAAATAGCCATTATTCTTTACTATTAATTGAAGGATAAATGTCGACGCAAACTCAATAATTTTTTTTTTCAGAGCCCTGCACATTCTGAAAGAAAATGAATCAGAGTATGTGGAAAGATTGAGAAGGGAACTCGGTAGTAGAGAAATGAGGTGTGAGGCGAACGAAAATCCATTCTTCACAATTTGTCACGGTAATTTGGACTTGAATCACTCATTATTTTTCTACGACGGAGAAAGACCGATAAGCGTCCAGATTTTGGGTTGGAATAGAATGGTCTACACGTCTCCAACAATTGATTTAGAATCGATTCTCCGGGAAACTCAACTAGAAAAGAATTGCATCACCGAGATTCATAAAAATTTTGACGATTACTTTGACACACTATTCAGCTCAAGCACAACCTTGAAAAATGAGGGATTACGCATGTTTTTCCGGGCGATCTTCGTATTTCTTGTATTCTCCACAATTCCGGAAAGCCCAGAAAATGAACATGAGCTCATCAATTTTCTGAATTCACTCTTGTAACACCGTTACTCCTGCAAGTGCCTGAAAGCTGAACTGAAAATTGCGCAAGAGTTTCTCAGAAGGATAACTTTGTAGAAAAAAGTGCAATAAATTGTCTGCCATTACGATAATTATTCCGTCTCAATTATACGAAAAATAATTCATCCGGGGTGAATAATTTAATACCAAAGTTGTGGTGGCTTCTTGAATTGTCAACTTCTCAAAGTGAGAAGAATTGAGAAATGTTGAATGGAGGAGGCGAATGCATGGAAAGTGGATAGTGAAAATGATTTGAACGTCCAACTGTGAAGGACCCTGGACCGAATCGTGTTTGGAAACTGGCAAACTAATTTGCATGGTAGATGTACACGTCCAGTGGATGAGGACGGCGAAAATACTATTTTCACGCAGGCCATCTACTACATCGTGTGACGATTATTGACGAGTCTGTCAGATAAGTGGGATGGATACCATCATGTTATATGCTAATTTTATTTTTCATGTACTAGCATGTATTATCTAAATTTTCCAGCTCAGTAATAGCCTAAATTTATACTTTTGATAACGAACATGTTTATTTGGAGGAATGTATATTTATAAGGTAAAATTTCATGCGTAGCGGTTTATTCAACTTAAATGAAATATCAATGTTTTATGAGCGAAAATAACGCAATAACTGCGATGGCTCGGAAAATTATTTATCTTGCAGCAATTAAAATTTGTGTAGTTAAATTGGCTCCGCATGGGTATATGCAATTGTAAATATGACATGGGTTTCATTAAAGTCCTCAGGATATTGCATAAATACAATTTGCAGTCGAGTAATTTTTTTTTCGCGTTAAAAAACGTTAATCGCAAATGAATGAACCAACTTTTAGCATCGGGCACCAATAATCATCATATGGAAAGGTTTTCATATTTTCTGTGATACGTGGTCCTGCTGCTTGCACGAGGTGGATTAAACTGCGCCAGAACACAAAGCCAAAGTATGGTAGTGAAAATGTTGGAGGGAGGAGAAAATATGTTGACTGCAGCAAGTTGCCTCCACGAGAATGTCAATCGCCTGGGTGCATAGTGCCTTAGGGGTAGGAAGTAGTGGTTACGTGGCTACTACTTCCTGTGGCTGAATCTTTTGCGGTTTGAAAAGTCATATAGAGGCCAATGGGCAAGATAATGGCCGGTGGTCGCAGGGAAAATTCTTCCTGAATAAGTTCCCAGTATGTGGCTGGTCTATGGAAAATTTTTTCTCTCTCATTTGAAATTTCATGGCTATAGCTACCACACAGATTAGTTAACCCCAGGAATTTAATCGTCCAATCCGATGAATTCCACTTGCACATTCAATTATTTATTTTTTGCAAAGCTATAAATATACTGCATCATATAAATACCATCACGGCCGCTCATATCTTAATTTTTTTTCCTGCAAGTTTTATCGACCTCATGACTGCCACATTCATGGAGGCTAAAGATTTACCCTGGAATCTCACTGACGCGAATATTAATTGTCTACTGTAACATTCTCTCTGCCGTAAACTGAAATAATAATACTTTTGGTTTATTATCTCTCATTCCGCGGGTTCATTAATAAGCAAGCACCTGCCTTTTGTCATTTCCAGAACATTTGTGATAGATAAATAGTATTTGAAAAATTCTTGGCAGTATTTTATTTTATTTTCGTGGTTTTCCTTGCTCTTTGAAATCTAGGCGAATTCTTTTGGAGGGCTCTACGCGAATTATCATTAAAATTCTCTCTACTCTGCTTAATGATTTTATTGTTGGGTGTTATGCAATTTCCCAATGACTTATCAATTATTATTCAAATAAACATTTCGTTGCGGAGAAGAGTGAGATGATGAATTTCACAGAATGCACATTACCGTCTCCGGAAAAGAATCCATTTCATTTGCGGGGAGCATACTTCGCGGTATACAATCGTCACCCCATTTTGCAAGAGGCTGGTATGCATGCTGACCGAGTCACTCATATTGAATTCTTCTGCTGGATTGTCCATCGATTGAAAGTGCCAGAAACGAAATTAATTCATTCAACGAATGCACATCATCGCGCCGTTTATGTTCAGGTCTACCTGAGGAATGCGTTTATTACATAGCTTTGCCGGAGGGGAGTATAGCATGTGCAGGAATGCTACAACCACCCGTGATTATTGGATAATCATGAACATACTCCAGTTATTGAAATGACATATCGATAAGTAATAGAAAAGTGGAGAGCAATACACGCATATCCAGAGTGCACCTCAAAAATGACCATTTGGTGTTGAACATCATGAAATTTCGTGATTATATCGGTTTTCATTCCAATCCATACAGAATTTCAAAAATAAATATAGAATCGAGTAATCGAAATCAATTACCATGCAGAATAGTTTGATAGTAGCCTAGAGTCAGTTCAATTATCGATTTGCATGTTTATACGATAAAATATAGTTATGCAGCATCGTAACAAATAATCAATTTTTCAGCGCACTTTTCAACAATTGATAATTAGATTATCGCAATTATCAATGAAACACGGATATTAATTAATGTGCATTCGGTGGATACTTGGTAACGAGATGCAGAAATTAAATGCAATGGGTTATGGTCGTTGATACTAGTGGATGAGGCGTGCTGGTAGGAGAGTTTTCGCCATCCGGATTAGGGTATGGTTGGGAGATATTTATATATATTCGAAAACGTACGACTGAACTTTATATTTTTTCTGGAATAATTGCAGAATCAGTGTACAATAAATATGAACGATACTGCATAAAATAATAATTTATAAAGTGAAAAAGTTTCACGGGTATTCGGGTCATGCATGTGCGATTAAGAAAAGTGGTTACGGTACATGAAATTACGGTATAATGAAATAGCTGCAGCTGTTGTGTGCACGTGGTCAATCGATATTAGATATTATTCCCAAAGAATTTTGAATAATTTTGGTTTTGTAATTTTTGGGAGCGTACATGTTCCATGTAATGTACATATGTACACATTGTAAATCTAATAAATAGGGTGGAAGGCAATTGGTGTTTCAATGGGCAATCAAATGGCTAATAAAACACGTGAAGTAATCGAAATTCGCGTTGGCCACAGGCGCATCTATGAACGTTAACTCAATTACACGCCGAGTAAACACAGTCGAATAGTTTGCTGGGGTAGTTAGAGCCCAAGTTTTGCTGCTTCATCAGTTTGAAATTGGTAAAGGTCATTGATAATTTTTCACATTTATCAACCCTCTCATGTGGCGTTTGGCGATGTATCAAAAAGAATTTTCTGAAAATTTTCCCAGAAATTTTGGAAATATTTAGAAAAAATATTTCGATTTCAATTTTTTTTTACCCGGGAACTGTTGATCCGAACAAAATTGTTCCCACAATTGAGCCACATGATCCACACTGGAAATGCGTGGACAATCTCATCACTTCAATTTACATCAATGAAGTTAGTCAGGACTTGGTCAATAGATTCTGAAAATTGTCAGATCCTATTAAATCCTGGAATGCACTATCAACGTGTAGATCGATTGGCGGCTGCGGACTAAATGAATTTTAATCAAGTACCCGAGAGCAACGAGACAATGCCAATGAAGTAGGTACGTTTAGTGGTGTCGCATTCCTGTTAAAACCTGATGACACCAAGCTAGATGAGAGTCTGTCGAATCGAGGTCGAATTACATTGAGCTTAGAGACAACCACTTTCAATGGAAATTACAATGGGTCAATGCCATCAGGGAGGGCAACTCGCAATTGGATCATTACTTCAATGTACTCTCCCAGTATTTCGGAGGCACTGGCTATTGCTACGTGAACTTTAAATCATGTGAACAGTACAGTACTTGCACTTCTTCAGCATTCAGAATGAAATCGATATATGGCCATCTACGCTTTCACGGAATGGTACTGAATTTCACCCACATCAATTCTATCATGCGAGTAGGACTGCATCGGATATTTCGATGGTAACTGGGAATATCGCATTTCCGGTCGATCGATCGATTCTGCACTCGGAAAATCAATAGACATCACTGGGTGCTGAGTACTTGACAATTCGTACGGACACATGAGGATCATTTGGATTCTCACTCGCAATTTTCCTGTAAATTCAGGGATTCGGGAAAAAAGTTAAAGGTTAAATCAGAATTGTCTTGAATGTATTTTTTTTTTCTCCAACAAACGCTGCTAACAGAGTTTGTGGGATCACCTTATATTAAACTAAGTTACTTAAGAAAACTGTTCGCGCTGCACAAAGTCTAGAGCATAATTCTCCTCGGTGCATTAGAGTTCTCAACTCCTTCACTGCAGGATGAATTCCGAGGCCTATCACTTCAAAAGTATAACGTGCTTTTGTGCCTGGTAATTGTGTTGTTGCGAGCACATGTACATCTGAATCCTAGGCTGTTGAGACTGGGATAGAGCACTTGTAAGGCTCACTTTTATTTCTTCTTCTCATTGTCTCGGCTGACGTGAAAATTTTTCAGAGGAAATTTTCCTCATCCCACTTCAGTGCGTACCTTTTAAACTTGTGTCGTAAGGTGTGAGTGTGTAAAAAAAATGGTGACCTGTCAGCAGCAAACTTTGAAAATGATTTAGAAAAAATTTTGTAGAGATGGGTTTTGCGAGGGAGGAAAAAATTGATTCAGTGGAGAGCGGTGATTCATCGTCTTATCGTTCAGGTGAAAGAGTAGACTCTCGAAAGAAAATAATAGTGTGTTACTGACGGGTCTGTTTGGACGGATGATAGCTGAGTACTAGGTGAAATGGAATGGGTGCAGAAGGAAGAAAACGAAAGAACTGAGAGTCCATTGGATTCTAACGACTAGTTCAGAGATTCTGGAGTCCTGCTGTGCAACGTTTAGCATTACTTTTCAACTGTCTGTAGCAGTACACCTTCTTTTATGTCTGGTCAAATACGGAATCGAATAGTCAGTGGTGATATATTGTGAAAGAAGAGAATTCAGGTTGACACACATTTAAGAGAGGAATGACGACGTCGAAAGGATAACAGCGTCCTGTCAATTTACATTCCCTCCTTTATATTTCATTGAATGAATCAAAAGACATTTTCATTATCTTCGTGTAACTTGAGAGAGCCCAAAGTACCCACTGAAGATAACAAAACCCATTTCGATTAATCTTTCATGACCAGAGTACTTCCTTTTGACTCACATTTTCACCTTAATTAAAATGGTAAATTCTTATTGAAATATTCTCTCACGTGTTCGTGATATTCCTGGGTATTACGTTGTATAATATTTGCAGATATTTCTAGAATTTGTCATCATAAAGTCTTCATTTGAAAGCAAAAAACCATAAAATGGTATGAACATCGATGAAATGACGGTGAAATTTAATGTGAATTTTCGGAGGTAACCACGAAACATTTTGCGGTTCAAGTGAGGCTTCCCGAGCTTGTCCAAGTTAATGGAATTGGCTTTGTTTTCCTCTCTTTTCATTCCATTTTCGTTATGAGCTCAATTGCATGGGATAGATGAATAATGAATAAATTCACTTTGGCGCATGGAATATTATATCCCTTTTTCCATGAGCGCATTGTGCCTATCGATGTTTGTTGAAATTATCTGATGCCGAAGGATAGAAAAGTTATGTGGCAAGAGTAAAAATTATCCGAACGACAAGCTTGAGATTGATTATATAAATTTGTGTTGATTTTTTAACCTGAGACGTCACATTTTCAATTTTGTCATGTTAGTAAAATATGATTGTATAAAATAGGGATTATAATGAGAATGATATTGCCAAAAGTTTCGTCTTCGATTAATTCGTCCTGTTCACCCATGAAACCTCGTTGATCCTAATATTTCCAGGTCATCGCAGAGTTGTTATTTCGCTTGGACGCTTCAGCCGATTTGTGCACAGTTATTAAACCAGTTTAAGTGGAATGATGAGAGGATCAGGGATAGAGTTCGAGGATGAAAGATAGTGAAGATACTAACGGCGATGTAATTCCAGTTGGAAATGCAATATTTTAGACATGTCCTCCTTTGCGTCGTCTCCAAGATAGAGAGATGAATGGAATTGTATCATTCAGTTGATGTATCCGCTAAAACTATTGTTTCCCCCATTGTATTGAAGAGCAATTCTATATCAGCGACTTTCTGTCAATTGTACAGTTAATGGAGTTTAGGAGTATTCACAGTAACTTAAAAGTGAACAATATCCATTAGAATACCACGAACTGTGGTAACACTCTAACCATGCTAACGCTGGCCTCAACTTTACTCACAAGTTTTATACTATGCATGACAAGTCTGATGTTCGTGCTGTGTTGTATATGGCAAAGCATATTGCACCGTGGAGAATTTTCAGTCACCATGTTACGTAACACATGCGAAACTGGAAATACTTGAGTTTGGGCCATGGCTATGGGTTTACGAATCCTGGTGAGGTAATTGGCGTGGGCTCACCTGGGAGTAATTTTATGGTACAATTCCGAAATTCCCGTAGGGTAATGTGTATATATTTTTGTTACCTTTGTATGTAGGAAAATAAATGAGATGTATAATAATGATGTGAATGTGAAGATTGCATTAGTTTCATCTTCATAAAGTTGTCGCATAATTTCAATGATTATTGTTTTTGGTGGACCTGAACCATGCCTTTAAAAAAAAATAACTTAATATCGATAGTTGAAAAAAATAATTTCAACGTCTTTTTGAGAACCATAGAAACATTACACAAGACAAATGTGACATAGTCACCTTACTGATCAAGTATAATTAGGGGGGTTGAAGAATTAATCATTGATTCATGAGAGCCGGCCTACCAACCACACCAGATAGTATTGATAGATCGCTACGTATGTGTCTGTCTGTTTGACCAATCCCTTCCGTAGGGTGCATAATCCAATTCGATAAGCCTGAGACCAGCATTTCCAGTGTTCAAAGTACAGAGAACGCCACTGCAACTCCGTTCAACAGTTAAGCTGACACCGTGCAATGTCCTGACCAATCCATGATCTTCCTCCGTACACTTGTCACGCAGCGATAGAGAGAAATGCAGTGCGCGGATTTCGCAGCCCAGACCAATACACCATCATACATATCTGCAACAACGCACTCTGGTCTATCAGTGGATCTAGGGTGCGTATACAGAACAACATGGAGTCAATATAAACTGTACGTTTGCTGAACAATGTTGGTGCCAGTATTGCAGTCACCAATTTCTACATGGACACCGGGCGAACATGGCACGTCCTCCTATATAACAATCGATGTGTGGATAGAACCGGTAGTCGCCTTGTAACTGCTCCTTCCAGTAGATATCGTCTTCCTAAAAGCAAAAGCCGCTGTCTCCAAAAACTTTAAGTATTAGAAAAATCCTATTTTTATATTCGATAGCGTTTGATAATTCAAGAGATTCCAAACGTCGATTCACTGGGTACTATATGTAGTCACAACTTGAGTTCCATAATTTTGTGACAATTTGTCATTTTCACATCATATAAGTGACTACGGCTGCTGAGTTATATCAACAATATGGATCTCGAGTCCAATAATTGCTAGTGAATTTCAGTGAGTTTTCATAAGTTTTGGAGTATATGACTATTCCAAATAACGGTATAAACTTACAGTGAATGGCGTAAACTGTGCGGTAAATGCTCCTAACTCCTGTTGCCAGTAACTAGCAATTAAGCGAGGTGCTGCTGTGTAAAACAACCTATCCCTTCCTGAACAGAGCTTCTCTCTCTGAGTCTTCTTATCCGATCTCTCTCTCTCGGGCTCTCCATTCTATTATCAATCTGTCTCTCTCCCAGAGTTGGATGATGGAAGAGGCGAGTGGAACAACCATGTCTCAGAGTTTCTCGAAAGTCTTCGTTGTGCGCTGAACCTGAAAATTTTCCGTCCCCCGTGATGATAACGAAGAATTGGTCCCGAGACTCAGTCATTGAAATTCAATCTATGTTGAGTACGAAACTTGTATCCCTTCACATTCCCTCATCACACAGGATATCTAATTTTTTTGTCCGATCGCTTTGGGTGTATGTTATCTCGTGTACTCTAAACTTAGAAGCTTTGAAATCATCGTGGAATATTTTTCCACGTCGATAAATATTTTGTAAAAAATTTAATCAGCTCTATTTTTGTTACACCAGTAAGATTTGACGTAGACACACCTCGGTGATAGGACTCCAACTGGAAGGAAGTTTAATCCAGTAGTAGAGCTTGACGTGGACACGTTCGGATGGCGGAATTCTAATCAGCTGTAGTCTATGTTCAGCAGTATTATTTTCCAATTTCCAATTTAAAGTGGTGCTGCAGAAATCTGGATCTTCTGAAAATCAGGAAATTATTTTCTTCCACTCCTCCGGCTTTTCTCTCCAGTAATGCTCCCGTGGAGGTCCAAAGTCTTCTGAAGATTAGCGACCAAGTTGCACTACCCTTATAGATAGTTGGAATGCTGTGATGGCGGAAATTTTGTGGTGGAGGAAAAACTAGCATGTGAAGTGCCGAACCAATCGCAGGCTTTCACATCTCAACCGTTTAGAATAGAATTGCCACTCGAAGAAGTTTAGAAGTAGAAGTAGTTGAAGGACACTCGGCCTTTCTCCATGGTCCGCGCGAGTTGTGATCCCTGAATCTTGTATTAAAAGTCATGCGGATCCGATCTGCAGCGACTGTACAGAGGAAAGAAAGGTAGCAGACCAGAATAAGCTGGGGAAATAATAATATGATGAGTCTTGCTGCTATATCAAAGAGCATGCTGATTGAGTTTTTTTTTCGTGTGCAATGGCACTCTGCATATTACGGTATGCATGAAAAATATTGCACTGTAAAATGTTGAAATCGAATCGTTTGTCAGTGAAAAATGAGCCAAAATGTAGTACAAATCTTGTATAGTGGGAGACCTAACGATTAACTGAGCAGGTGTTAGTGTGACCCGCAAAAGGTCACACCCGTTTCAACACATCTCTCCGAACGCACTCACATACTCAAGAGTATGTACATGGGGCCATCAGCCTACCCCAATTTTTTTTCATATTTGGGTCATTCACGATCACCTAGGTATGATTTTTTTGCATACAGAAAAGGAGGAAAAAATTAATCCGTACATGCCATAAAACAGAAAATCATATTCTCAAATTTAATGAACATGAGTGTTGAAACTTTTGCATTCATTAAATTCATGGAAAAACAAATTTTGGAATTCAGAGAGATTTCTGGAGAGTTGAAGTTTATGTATGGTTCAATTTCTAGACATTTAAATTTCCATGTTTTCATTGGTAATTTTAATCAGTACTTCAGTGCGATCCGGTTCGTTGAAATATATCCTATCCGTGAATTGCGGGAACTAGCGATCGCAAGACCCTGTAGATTAATTTCCATCGGTGAGTTGGATTTCAATTTCAACTTCACAAGTTTCAACGAGTTTATTCCAGAAATATTCATGATTCCAAATAAATAACGCATAGGACAAATAAGATCGAGATAGAAGGGACTTATTTGAATTAACTTAAAACGTATCTAAAATGTAACGTTCAGATATGACAGTTAAGCAATATGCAATTAACACGATTCGCGAATTCTCCAGACGAAGCACATAGTAATATGAACTAATTAAATGATTATTGTGACTAAGCGCTCTGTTAGAAAATTACTTGAAATTTCCAACAACCGGCAACAAGCAGAATGAGGCACAAAATCTCGGTAAACGTCATAAGAACTAGTGAGTGAATTTCCTGAATATTCAAGTATGAGTTTTGAGGTCGACACTGGAGTGAAAATTATTGAAAAATAGTTGAGAGAGTTAAAGGATAGGGGAGATAATAAATACAGGTGTAGAGAAAAGAGTAGAGAAGTGAAGTAAAAGTAAAGGTGAGGGCACAGGAGAATGTGCGAGGGTGGTGTGAATTGTGTGAATTGGAGGAAGAGGAGGATGGGGTAAGGATGGTTGTGAGGATGGTTGTGAGGATGGTTCGTTGAGCGGCCACTGTAGCGGCGCTGCTGGTTGCCTATGAGGAGGCCAGTTGTGTTTCGCACGTCGATTTGTACGGATCGTTTTATCCACGCTGAGGACTACAACTGTGTTGTTTTCGTTGATATGCAAGCAGGCTAAACCCGGGTGGAACTATAGCTTATTATCGTGGCATAACGTGACATGCCAAAGTATGTTATTCGATAAAATAGTGATCGCTGACACTGTCGGTGTCACTGGTGCTCTCTATGATTTTTCAATTAATATCCCATTATAAATTATATATCCAGCTGCATAGAACGTTATAGAATAGCCGGAAGATAAAAAATGGCCATTATCATCATTGGTTTTACCTCGCTCTCCCACGAGAATTGAATAACCTGAATCAGTTCGTCCCGCAATTTTGATCCTTCACCTTTTGCTCCATTTCTATTTTCATCGCTACACTCGCCAGGTATTATGCTGTTCAATTCAGTGAATGGACAGGAGAAGGCAAATAAGAGTTTCGATGAGTACCAATAAGGGAGAGCAATCTCTAGTGCTGGGGTAGTGCTGGATCTTGGTGAAATCCGCATCCCTCGGGGCTATTTTTCCTCGTTGATTTGCACCGGTCTCTCGCCTCAATTCTCTTTTCCTCCGGGATCTTCTGTTGTCCTTTTACGTTATTCTTTTATTTGTCTATCATTTAGATTTTGTGTATCGTGACTATTTTCGGAACAATAATATCACAGCAATTGGAAAGTCCCAGGATGTGTATTGGAGGATGAAAGCAATTGAATCCAGTGGATGAATTTGATGTACGGATAAAGGAGAGAACATTCAATCCGTTTGTGATTTTTTTCAGTAGTGTAATCTATTTCTTCTGTGACCTGTGAAGTTTCTGATTGAATACAAAAGAAAATTATGTCGTCGAGTGTTAAAGTGGATAATGTGACAGGTGACTTAATTGGTTGAATACTGGACAGCTTAATTCTCAAGTGATCATTAATAACCTCATTGCAGGAGTTACCACAGTGTAAGAAGTGTCAAACAAATTACCTCAGTCACGTGTTCTGAAACAGTGGATAATATTTTATGAAAATATTTTGCTTTGAATATCGTTTGGGCCTACCCAATGAATGATGAATAGTTCTATTGCGTGTGTTCAGTGACGTTACGAGTGATTACCGTCGCATTAGCTCCACCAAAAATAAGTCTGAAATCAATTCACCAACGAGTGGTAAGTCCATTTGATTACTAGAATATATTTAACGCTCGGCTGATTCTTTCATGTTCCATTTGACGTTCCTGTTTTTATTACTGGGCGTGTTTTAGTTTCTCCCCTATTTTCATGAAATTCATTTAGATGTCTTTTTTGGGGAGGCCTTGATGTTTAGTTTCTTGTGGGCTCGGTGCCAAAGTACCTGTCTTGCAGATGCTTCCGTGTTTCGAAACCAGCTGGGTCTCATCCACGTACCACACTCTTAGATATTTTTTTTTATTTCACTCACAATGTCATCTGAGTTTTTCTATTTCAATTGAAGAGCTTTATTATATTTATCATTTTTCTTTGCCATTCAGGAATATTGGAATTTTCGTGTTGAGTAATCATTAATTTTTGGATCAAAATATAAATTTTGAAAAAAAATGTTCTATATTTGACCAATGATAAAACCGCAGTGGTGCAGGTTCGACTTCCCGAAAATGAAAAATTTTTTTTTTTGGTTTTATTACAAAAACTCAGTTGCGGTGGAACAATGGTAGGCGAAAAATAAAAAAACATAAATTCAAATGAATTCAGGATTTGTTGCATAGAATCGAATTATTCATTTATGTGATAACCATAAAATTCTGCCTCATTCAATTGAATTCGTGAAAAATCAAAGGTTATCCATTAAAAAAATTGCCTTCACAATTTCACAAGAAGTGAAATTATATTTGTTCTCTAGGTGAATAAAGGGTGTAATGTTTCATACGTTGTAAAGACGCAGGCGCTTTTTCATGGCGTAGATCATGATGATATATACAAAAAGTTGAGGTGTGCGTCATACTTTTGCGAGTAGTTTTCATTTTCCCTTTTCTCGCATCAAGGGAACCCTTGTGATGGGTTGACCCGAGTAGATGGTGAAAGACATCCAGACTCGGTGAGCAGTTTTGAAAGCATTATCTTCAAGCTTTAATAACAGAAAAAAAAATCTAACTAGTGGTGATGGTCAGAACATCTCTCTGTATCTCGTTTTCCTCTGCACTCGTTCGAGCTTTTAGCCCGACATATATTTTTTTGGAGCGAAAGCTCTCACAGGCTCGCTCTGATGCGTTGAAAAACCTCTTTCATTTATGAAATAAAACTCGAGGTGATATTTTAATATTCGGAGAGTACGGTGTGGTACGTAAAAATAGTTAATCTGCTCGTACATTGCTTTTTACGTGGGAATCCTGTCGGTTTGATGAATTGAGAATAATTCTGTTTCTAAGTGGTGATTTATTATTGAAGTGGTGCATGTGCCACAAGGGAAGTAGAAGGCTGTAATAAGAGCATAGATAATGTTCTCAAACTGGAACTTCACCTCAATCATAACGAAATAAATCATTAACTATCCATCCGTCTTTATGTATCTGTTATTCGAGAATCGAGAATCCCAGCTATAGAAAACCCTCGGGCTGTCGTTATAACGAGGAATATAATATTATAATGAGGGAAAATATTGTAACTTGCAATCGAAACTTTTTCCATTCAATTCCCGGGCTTGTAAACACTAGAGCTGTTAGCATTTCTTCGTCTGAAGATAATAAACCAAAAATAATTAGACTGCTTTATAGGGAAGCTTGGGACATTACGAATCCCAAGAGCGAATAAGATTTGAAAATTAAAAAAATCTATCACAGCCTAATTTGATGGAGAAAATGTGATGAAGTTTAAATGTTTTTTTGCATTTTTTTTTCTTCTGCAATAAATTTCAAATGAAAATTTCATTATCTGTCCATTGCAATTCAACCAAAAATATTCATAATAACTAGTCACTCGGAAAAACGTATATATTAAATATTCATTGCAAACATTACGCATATATTCTCTGGGAATATATCTGTCCCATATAAGATACGTCTATGACTCTTGCATGAGCAGCAAAAAATGTACTTTTTTGGATTCATGTGCAATATCTGTAGATTGTATGTCAAATATTTTATACACATAACTATCCGGGGACCATACTTGAGATAAATGTTGCTATAAAACTTTTTCTTGTACCCTTTTCCATGCGGCTATCCTCAACATAAACTACCAAGAGAATTATGCAGCTTCGAAATATTTATTAAACTGGCAAAAATGTGCGCATGCCAACGACTTTTGTGTTTGGCTTGAGGTCTAATGGCCTTGTGAACTTCAAGTCCATTGCGCCATCTAAAAATAGCAATATTAATTCCGCGCTACCCACGGGCAGAAAAAAATTCAATGAAAATTCCACTCCTGTTCCGTAATCTGCCAGTCACTATTCAGTAAAAATAACGAAACAGTTACGCGCTTTTTCACAGAACGTTCAGAAAAAAAGTACGGAACGTTTTTACCACGTGACGTCGAATGGTCCAATTCTATTGCAATTTGTTGGAATTAATTTTCAATTTTATTGATTCATGTCAATTTGGGGGACTGAGAAAATCGACCTGTCGATCTAGTTTCTTCCACTCAATAGCAATTGTTCTCTGATGGATGGACTTGGGGTGTAGATATTTGATACATGATACCCCTGACAACTGTTTTTTTGTTGTTTTTCCATTCATTGATGCGTGCTGTACCTTCCGGATTGATTTCATCCTGTTCATTCACATCCAATCGCCTCTGAGTAAAAAAGACGAATTCTAGTATCGAGGGAACGAACAAAAACTCAAGAAAGAGGCTAATCGAAGAAGGGTGTTTCGAGGGTCACGGTTGAATGCTTCTTGTTGATTTTCGTGTTGAGCTTATTCGTTCTATGGAGGACTGTTTATTAGCTAACCTTGAAATTAAACCCGAAGGCTATCAGTTCGTGCTCCGACGATAAAAAAAAAAATATTTATCATCGGGTGCTCGAAACCTGCGCTACTGGACCGCTTGGTCATGGGTCATGGGGTCAGCATAGCAATCCACTTACACTTGCCCAAAGATATCCTCTTGCTATCACTCATTTTTATCATTTCTACACACACATGCGTTGAATCTCCCATACCCTCACTCCCGTGTTGAGAAGAACAAGCAATGGAAACAGTAGTCAGGTGGGAAGGTTGAATCTCGTTTTGTGCTGTCGTCCGTAATGAATGGGAACGAAAATTTGATTAATGATGGTTTATAAAATTAATATAAATGAACCAGACAAAAATCGTTAAATTGGAAATTGGAAATTTTAATCTACCGAAATTACAACTGTCTAGTTCCAGTGTTTTTCGAGTGTTTCTCGCTATTCCTAGGTTCTTCCAGTGGAAAATTTTATACCCTAGTAAGATTTTACTTTTAATTATCTCGTGCTTCTACTTGCTCTTGCTCCTTTTTATTCTCCAATGAATTACTGCGGTCACTCTTGTTCCGGACAGAATACGTGAACTCGAATACTAATGTGGAATGTTAATTTCTACAGCTGATAGTTGTCCGCTGGGTGTGAAGACTCTTTTGTGATAATTGCGAATTGTACTGCTTGGAATGAAGTGGATGAATGTACACAATGGTGTGTAAAACGAGGAAATGTTAAGAGAAAGTCGGGGAACTTCTGTAATTACATTTCTGTCAATGCATATTGATGTTCAGATATTAAATTATGCAAGTGAAAAATTAGCGGGACTAGCCTGAGTAAGTTGATAGGGAGGAATAAGAGTTGGGAGTATATATAATGAAATAATTGTACATGTATCTTCGTTTTATGTGACAAAGTATACTTCAATTTTTTAATCATATTATTCCTTCACACTGCGGTTCGACAGATAAGAAATACCAATTTTTTATGTAAACTTTCATTGAAAAATGAATGATTTTGTCAGATATGAAATTTTCATTCGCACGACTTTTTTTTTCGTCTATAATTAGAATAAATTTCTCAACGAATGAATTAAACAGCAATCATTTGCGTTTTATTCAATAAATCATATCTCAGTCAGTTCATATGTGAAGGTTTATTAATAATGTGAACATTTTTCAACGTTAAATCCACATTTTGAATTTCATATTCGCTTTATGGAGGGCAACTCGAAAACGAACTGTGTACTCAGCGAATAATGCCCGAATGCATTTTATGGGTAAAATGAATTGATATTACGGGTCAGATAATTCATGCATCCTATTCTGCCATAATTGGATTTTGAATTGGTTGACGAAAAATGAAAATTTTTACATGCACAAAGGCGAGCGGTCAAACGATATTTGAGTGTGAAATTTCTCGGCTAAAGCGTTACAGCCGAGAGTTGCGTTAGTTATACAGGCATTTGTTGTGACGTAAAAATCAGTGATTGGCGGAAATTTCATGGTGGGGGAGGAACAGGTAGTGGGACTGTCGAGTCAAATTACAGGCTTTCGCATCTCAATCGTTTAGAATAAAATAGTGACTCGAGGAAGTTTGGAATTGGAAGTGGTTGAAAGGCAGTCTGTGAGGGGCCTCTCTCCATGGTCCGCACGAATTTATATTCCTACGTAAGTCATGAGTGAAACACCTAGCCGGACTTATAAAATGGACACGCTTTCGAGATAGGCTCGCGATCGCGCGGAGTAATTCAATAAAAAAAAATCGTGTCAAAATACTCGAGGTTGGAAAATGAAAGATAGGGGTTGGCGTGGGCAATAGCGCGTGTTGATTCTTCTCGTCTGCCAAAGATGGTATGCATACGATGTCTGCCTCTCATAGCCATATCCCCCTTTTACTTTACAAATACATTCTCATCCCATAGTTACTACAATACAGAATAGGAGTGAGCTTGATATGAGATAGAAAGGGAGAAGGATTGAATGTTTTCGTTGGGTATGGGCCGAAGTGAATTGGTCGAGGTTGACATATTTCCATCAATAAAACCATTCAAATGGGAAAAAATATTGCTAACGAAAGCGGAGTTCTTCCTGCAACAGTAAATTTCTGAGGGTGACAGGTACTGTTTCGGAATTTTCTTTTCCGATTCCATTACTGATATGACAAAAGGTCGATTTAGCTTTTATTTAGTTTGACTGATCTCCTTTCATATTGTTGTTCTTTTAGAAAGTGCGGTATATATATTTTTTTTCAAAAATCCAAAAGCTGCACTAATCCAATGCTCATCACCTTTCTGTTTTAATTATTTTCCAAGCTGTCGTAGGAATTCACAATTTATTTTCATTAATTTTATCAATTGCTGATGCTTCATGTTTGGTTTATTTTCTTGGTTACTCTTATGTTTGATGTGATTCCATTATTCATTTCTGCTTTTTGTGTTACAGGTCAGTGCGCGAACCTGAACGAGTATTATGTGAAGTGAGTGTAAAAGATCTGGAAAAAAACAGCGATATCGAAGATGCGTGTCATTGATACTTCGTCCCGGATGCTCGGCATTTTCGCTCTGGTCATCATCATCACTGGTGAGTTTATGCACTGTCACAGTATTGATCTTGCTTTTTTTTTTATATAGTATGCAGTAGAAAATATTAGGTGAACTTCAAACCGGTTCTTTAAATAATTCAAGCCTAAATTTTTAGTAGGCAACCCTCGCCCAAGGCGAAAAATTATTATTTGAAAAATAATGAACGTAATTAATGAAAAATAATGGGAACCGGAATTATTCTTGACATTATTTTACAAAAAAAAATTGATCGTTCCGACCGAGATGTGAACCTGTGACCATCCGATTAGTAAATTTTTTCGATATTCGAATTAAGAAAAAAGTATTCCTCCAAAAAATTCTCAATTGTTCAGTTGACCCCTGGTAATTATTTCGCACTGCAATTGATACCAAAATTTTGAATCTTATTTTCTGAAGAAAATGACTTTGTCAATACGGATTTACTGGGAATCCATTTTAACCCCATCGTATAAATCAGGATCAAAATATTCCTCCTCAGCGACAATAGCCTCATATATTTTTTTAGAAATTCCAATTCTTTACTTAAAATCATCATACCTTATTTCCGTAATGATACACTAGATAAAACTATCCTAGAGAGTTTATTTATTCATCTCTATCGTTTGATTAGAACAGTATGAAAATACTACTTCGGAGTAAAATTGAAGATAAACAAGACGTGAAATTTCGTACATATACAGTTATTTGCCATTGACGGAAATTGTTTAGTATTCGTTTGGATGACTGAGGAATATTTATGTTGCGTTTGATTTGCAATGGGAACTCATCTACCAAGATGAAAATCCATGGCTACTGACACAAATACATCATCGCTATACGTGGATTCGCGTAGATCTACTTTGTTTGATAGTTCAACACAAATAAGCTTAGAGACAAAGGAAAACATTGCGTCTTGTGGGCTTTTAACAGTACGAGGACCCTTGTTCTCTCATTCTTTCTTACTCTGTCTGATTCGCTTGACATTCATAAGAAGCAAATTTATTCCCTGCCACTGTAACGTCAACGTCTCTCTCTCCTTTATTTTTTTAAACTACCCTATCTCTCTCTTCTTACTTTGTACCTTTCGCCTTCGTTTTATCCTCGACATGTTTTTACGACTGGTACACGTAATGACGCTATGGAAAGTCGGACAGAGAGAAAAAAAAGAGTATGACAGGGGCGTGAACCTCCACTAACAGTGGAGCTGAAGGGAATCGGTCAAGTATGGCATCATTAACAAAACATCCTCATCGTCGGAATCGTGGGTATTTCCTCATTGTTCGAGGGACCTCTCTACTTCTTCCATATAGTCATACTGGCACAGCAATTTTTGAAATATAACGGAGTTGATTGTTCTCATTGTTATTCTTTGGACAAAATATCGCGCAAGATAGTAACAATATTCGGCAATTCTATTTTCTCGTCATGAGACTGAATTATGCTTCCACAGTCCTCTGTAATTATAAAAATCATTATGTAAATCGGAAAATTAAATGAGTTCTTAATTCTAATTGTCCGTTAAAATGGTCAAGTAGGATCCATACTCTGAGCCACTGAAATCGGGAGTTAGAAAAAATGTTAGAGTAGAGGCACAACAGAATTGACGTATTTTACTGGGATGCACACGAAACAAGTAGCTACAGATTCCCTAGAAGTTATTATCCACTTAGGTAGTCATCCACCTACAAAATATGCATTGTGATACACGGGTTGACGATTATATGGGCCACCAAATACATGAGAAAAAAAGACCGTAGTGCTATTGAAGCCAGTAAAATGGTTTGTAACCGTAAAAATTCTTCAAAGCCCCGTACAAAAACTTTCAGAGTCTCTACGCATATTCGTGTGCATCGCACATTGTTGCTCCACAAGGAGAGGAAAAACGGAAGGGAAATAAAAACTTTTACCGTGAAATAACTTCTGTGTTGAATTACGGACTGAGCACTGCAAAGGAAAGAACAAAATAAAATAAACAACCCGTGATGAAGAAATATTTTGAAAAATACTATGGAGTCGACCCCGGCGAACAAGTCATAATAACTTATCGAATCTTATGCATTTTCCATGCAGAATCTGAGGACATCTAGTTATACGAATTTTTTAATATCATTTGAATAATTTTCTTGTGATATCATATTTTACCGGTGATCACCTCGCATCTGTCGAGCCACTCATTACTCGAATGTCAAAATTTATGACTAACGCAATATTTTTATCAGCTTTTTTCAATGGACCTTAATGTGGGTATATAGCGGGAGTTGGACGAAAATTACCCGCGTCAGGAATGCTGAAATGGAAAATTCAGCGTTGAACCTTGGCCTCATTTGCATATCTATGTAATCCTGATTTTGCGCGTATCCGCAGTTTTCACGAATTGTGGTAAATAATTTTTGTTCTACGTCATTTTTTCTCGTCCGGAAAAATAACCGACGCAGGTACACTGTCCACATGTGTTTTCAGTTTCAGTTTCACGCCTTGAAAATTTTTTGAAAACTCATCTGAATTTTTGATCGTCTGGTAACGCGATATACCGCGATCATCACAGATAAATGGAAATAATTTTTTATCGTGGATTTTTAGTTTTCAATTGTAATTAAATTGGAGGTAAAATTTTAATACTAAAATATCAGCGGATACTTTCAGCCGATTATTGAGACTCACAACTTGAGATAATAATAATAATAATCGTTTATTGCTGGCGTACATCAAAAATTTTTATTATTCATTTTTTTGATTGTGGTCTACGAGTCTCAACGTATAACAAAAACTACTATTTTTTATTCCCTTTTGGTGTTTCTCATTCGTAAATAAAAATGTATCGGCGGATTGCCGCTGGGCAGAAATATTTTGATCCCGGCATACAGCAGTATGAATACCCGGGTTGAAATGGAAATCTGTATATAACCGAGGTCAACTCAAGACGTAAGCAATTGCCCAATAACATTGTCTTCTTCAGAAAATGACATTCATCATTTGGGTACCAATTGCCGAATTAAATAAATACCTGAGGTCAACTGAACAATTGAGAATTTTTCGAATGAATAAATTCTGCTTTATTTGAATATATAAAAAATTTCCTAATCACATTTTCAGTCACATGTTCAAATCTCGGTCAAGAATAATCCTGGTTCTGATTATTTTCAATTAATTATGGTAATTATTTTAAAAATAATGATTTTTTGCATGAGGCTGTTTCTACGACTTCTCAAGAAGTATTAGCCAAAATTCAATTTCATTTCAATGAAAATTATTTGAGAATAATAATTTTTATTGAATACTCTCCTCGGCAAAAATATTTCCACACGCAGATTCGATGATACTCAAATGAACGCTCAAATGAATAACATTGAAGAGCGCGCGGTGAAACGACAGGGGCATTCCATAGGGATGCGAATCCATTGTTGGGTGTGAAGACTATCGGACTTTATCGTTGCATCGGTTGTGGCTCTTGAATCCACTGGGAATTCTGTTCAGATGTAGGATGTGTACCACTTTTGGGTTGTTCCTGGATGGGACATCCGCCCCTCGTCAATCGATGGAATAGTCGGAATAAAATTTAAATTTCAAATTTTTTGTGTATCCACATTGTAGCGGTATATGGAAATTGTGAATAGTCACAAGGAAGTGCATTCCGCTGCTCTTCTCTGAAATTTCTATTTTATTTCCGAAACATGTGGAACTTAATTGTGTCCGATCCTAGATCACGGTAGTCCTATTCCGTCTTTTCAATTCTTGAAATCTGTCAATTCTATACACCGTGGAAACCATTAATTTTTGCACAAATATTAATTTACTCGGGAGGGAAATGGAATTTTTCGTAACATCGTGACGTACTAATTATCCGGAAACGAGTCATCTGAATAGTGAATTATTTTCATATGCACACAATCCTACTTATTGTGTAGATACGGCTGTACAAGCGAATAGCTCTATAAAAGCCGACGATGAAAAAGTACTCAAGGAGACACTCCAATTTTATTTGACCAAATATTTGTAAAATACGTCGTCCAAACAAGAATCACTTACTGCATGATGCCCTCGTAATTGGCATATAATTCCCTTGTGTTCTAGCACAAAAAATACCTCCCATAATATAGGAGCCTTGGCTCATGGACGACAATAAAGTGATGCATAAAATGAAAAACTAACGAGACCAGAGGCAAATTCACATTCAACAAACAACAGTAGTGAGAACGTTCGTTATCATAAACATATACATATACTGTTGGATAATTTCAACTCACAGTTGGAAATTCAGCATCTGCTCTCAATGAAATTAAATTCGCGTATTGATTAGAAATTGCATCTCTCTTGCATAGAATAACGAACAATATTCACCAACAAATTCAGCTCGTCTCCAAATTTTACTGTTTATTTAATTCTTCATATTTTAAAACGTACGTTGTCCGACATAACGAGCATTGCGGTACTCTATCGAAACGCTGAATAATCTTTCACCCATGAGCATTGACTTTGATAAATAGCATGATAAATTTTTATCAATTTTGAATATTAAGATATCTCTTGCATACATCTGATGTTTCGATTGGTTTTGTTTATCGTGAAAAAATGAAGTTTATTAGGTCAGTTAAGTCTTGAAAAATTATGGGAACCGACTAAACATTCATCAATTGCAGTTGTAAGATTTCACGAATATCCTCTCTCGTTCATCGAATATTGGATTCATATAGTTGCAAAACTCTCTCGTCTTCGTTGATTTCATTGTCGATGGTGCGTCTATCTATACATATATCTTCATCTCGGCCACGATTGCATTGTTAGGAGGGGAATACATTGTTTGAACGGTGACGCGAGAGATGCCTCGGGGCGACCAATCAGTGCTTGCACTGGCCGTAGTGCTATCAAAGATTCCAGGCCTCTGTTACACCTATGCATACACTAACACAGAAGCAACCTGCTATCACCACTCGGGGTGCTTGTCTCATTCCATCCAATGAACTACCATTTCACCTCTTTGTAGAATAGGGAGTGGCAGAAGGTGGGAAATGGTAACTGAAG